AAATGTTTATACCTCCATTATGACATTTTTGTTTTACATCCTATAAAAAAAAATCTATTAGCAGCTGTCTTTTATCTAAATAAAGTCTAAAATAGATGAAAGATTGAATATACTTATTTTGATTTAGACAAATATTCGTATTGCTAAAGAAAATATTCTTAGTCGTGATTATAATGAATTAGCAAGTCTTTGTGATGATTATTTACGTCGATATGAAAATAATGAAGATGAAAATAATTTAATGCATAATTTATTTTCTGATAATAATAGTAATAAAATAGCAGAAATTATTGTTAAATCTATTCTATCATCAATGAAATATGGTTCAAATGAAGGTGTTAAACGTTTTTCACGTTTATTACAAATAATTGAATTATATCCAAATACAATGGAATCTATAGCTAATCGTTTACAAGAAATTCCTTGTTGGATGTTTTTTGATTGTTTATATCAAATAACAGCATATTTAGATAAACCAATAGGGTAAATAATAATTAAAAAAAAAAGTTTGTTTTTTTTTTTCAATTTTTTAATAATAAAATTTTCTTTTAAAGTCTTAAATTATATCCACTTATTGAACAAATAATTAAATTTTATCCACAATCAATTGTTTATCCATTTAAATTAAGTTATGAAACACTTCAATATTCAATAAATGATCCAATATTAAAACATAATCTTGAAATAATACGTCAAAAATTAGATCGTCATACACCACTTGTTAATGAATTTATTCAAGCATTAAATCAATTAAATCCACAACAAGAATATGAAAATTGGTGTAAAGAATTATATCAATTATTAACAAATGATCGTAATATACGAGATATAAATAAACTTAAAAATCATTTAAAAAAATTTAAAAATATTCTTTTTTCTGATATAATTAATAATGATGAAATAAATGATGAACATTCAATAATAACAACAATAACATCACAAGATAGTGTTTTTAATGATGGTAAAGATCAACGATTAATAAAACCTCAATTAACATCAATACGTTTTCAATTTAAAAATATTATTGAAAAAGATTTAGATAATTTATTTGGTAAACAAGGTGAATTATTTTCTACTGTTTTATTAAATGATGTTAAAACAATACTTACAAATTTTGGTATAAAATTAAAATCTATATCACATGATAAAACAAATATAAATGATTATTCAACATGGTTTTCATTAACATTTCGACAACATCATCGTATATTAGGTACACCATCAATACGTGAAATTGAAATACCTGGTCAATATACAAGTAAAAAAAAACCATTAATTCAACATCATATTAAAATAGTTGGTTTTGATGAAAAAATTTTGGTTTTACAATCATTAAGATTACCTAAACGTTTAACTATACGTGGACATGATGAAAATGATTATCGATTTTTAATTAAAGGTGGTGAAGATATACGACAAGATCAACGTATTCAAGCTTTATTTTCAATTATGAATGATCTTTATGATAATGATCCGAATTGTAATCAATCAAATTCAGCACATATTACTGTACAAACTTATAAAGGTAAATATATCAATAGAAAATTTTTATATCAAAAAAAAAAAAACTAATTAATTGATTTTGTATTTAGTTATTCCAATGTCAACAAAATTAGGTATGATTGAATGGCTTGATAATACACGTCCATTAAAAGAACTTATTGAAACAAATTATACACAAGCTGAACATGATATTATTTCACAAGGTCAACATCCAAGAAAACTTTATCAAGATTATGTTACTAATGTATTTCAAAAAGCTAAACCTACAGCTAAATCAACTAGTAATACAATTATGTATGCTGAATTATTTACTAGTTTAACAAAAGCACAAGTACAAGATGAATTTAATAAAATTCAATCTATTATACCTAGTGATTTACTTCGACGTGCTTATTATAAAATGGCTAATTCACATGAAGGATTTTATACTTTACGTAGACAATTTATTACAAGTTATGCTGTTTTATGTACAAGTCATTATATTCTTGGTATTGGTGATCGACATCAATCGAAGTATGTTCAATATATATATATATATTTCAGTAAATAATTATTTATTTATTTATTTATTTAGTTTTCTCATTGATACATCATCAGGACAAGTTATTGGTATTGATTTTGGTTCAGCATTTAATGCTGCAACTATTGTAAGATTAATTTAAATTTCTAAAAAATAAAATAATAAATATTTTTATCTTTTAGCATTTACCTGTTCCTGAACTTATACCTATTCGTTTAACACGACAACTTGTTCAATTAATGTCACCAATTGGTACTAATGGTCTCTTTCGTGCAACAATGATTCATACAATGAATGCTTTACGTGAAAATTCTGATTTATTACTTAGTACAATGGATGTTTTTATCAAAGAACCACTTATGGAATGGATGGTAAAGATTTCTATTATTTTCTTTTTCTTTTATCATAATTCATTTATAGGAACATGCACTTAAAACAAGTAAACAAGTTTCACAAAGTGGTATGTATAAATGATATATGAAAAATACAAAAAGAGATAATTATATTTTTGTTTTTTTTAGAATCATCAACGATTCGTTCTGATGATACTTATGCTAAAGATCGAATAAGAAGTGCACGATTGAAACTCAATGGAATTAATCCAGCAGTTATTACTGGGTATGTATAAAAGAAAAAAAAAAAGACAAAGTCTAATTAGTTTAATCTATTTTTTATTTTTAGTTCTGATCTTAAATTAAATAATTTTCTTCGTCCATCCAGTTTGAAAGAAGCACTTCATCAAATGGAAAAAGTAGTTGGTGGTGATCAAACACAAAATAAACGTGCACAAATTCTAATGCAATATCAATCAAATCGTTATCAAAAATTAACAGTTGATGAACAAATTGATTGTATTATTGATCAAGCAACTGATGTTGATATACTTGGTAGATCCTGGGCGGGCTTAGAAACATTTATGTAATTCAATGCACTTTTTTTCTATGACATTTATTTTCTTGTTGTTCTTTACATTCAAAATCCTTTTTTTTTGACGCATAAACTTTGTTCTCGGTGCAGATAGTTAAATTGAAATTATTCTTTTTTTTTGTGTATGTACGGTGATGATGATTTTTTTCTCATTGTGTAATTCGACTTACTCTTTTTCTGTCCAGTTTATGGTTCCGGTGCTTTTTTTGATGGAATCAAATAATAAATATAAAGACAAGAATATTTTGATTAAAAAAAAATTGATTGTTTTAGAAAAATTTAAGTCAACAATGGTCAAAGTTCATTATTTTATTTTGAATACAGATGACAGTATTGATTCTAAATGTTTGATGACAAATATCAATAATAAAGTTTAGGGATTAGAAACACTAGATAAGATTTGTTTGATAAATATTTATTCTATTTTTATAGCTGCAATTAATTGAATAGTATGACATGATCAAATCTATAGTTGTTAGAAATACTTTCTGTTCTCATATGTACGTGCTGATCAATACAGTGTAAATCTTCTCTTCAGTCTCTTCCTCAAGTTTCCACATCCACAGTTAAGGTATGGGGATTAGGATGGAGATATCAGGATAGAGGTATTAGATATAAGAGTCTATACATTGAAGTATACATAAAGACATAGGATTATACATATGGAGGTATATACATATATATGATGTGTAGATAGGAATAAAAAAGTATAGGTAAAGTATACGGATAGGAACATTGGTTACCTCTTTTGCAAAAATCTCTACACAAATTGTTGTTTCATTTTTCGGATATTTTAAAACAACTTGTGAGATTTTAAAAAATTCTTAGTTAAAATCCGAAATATATGTTCAGAATATTTTTCGATACAAGATCAACTGACTGTGAGCTCATGATTGAAATGATCCTAGATGTAGTTAATACAAATATTTATTTTCGAACATGTTTTATTTTAATTGAAAATTACTCAATGTAAAATATGAATGAAACATCTTTCATCGTACGAAATGTGGTAGTTAGTTTTTTTTTGTGTATTAATCATAATAGAAATGTTTTATCTGTTGCATTTTGAAAGACTGAATTTTGAAAGAGTGAGCATTTAGCAAAACTTATTGTGTCTATAAGTAGTTTTAAGGAAATGCAACTAATCATAATGTTTTTTCGACGTTCAAATTAATGTAGTACTTGATATTTGTAAGAAACTGATAACTCAATAAAATTTCTGAGTTCAAATCACTAAAAAAATATGTTCTACATTAACTGTGAATTCAGTTCAAACCCTGTTTCGCTTTTTTATAAAGAGCATTTCTAGTCCTTTTAAATATTTGCACACAGTAAACCAATCTTATGTCGAAAAACTTTTGAACACATATTCGGAAAGAGCACAAATTCTGGTTGTAACTAAGTATTTTTAAATTTCACAAGCTGATTTTTAACAGTGGTTGAATGTGATATGATCTTTTTTTTTTTGACCAAATGCATATCGCAATCTGATAAGGAAGATTTCGATTCAATCCAACAGAGCTCCATTGAATTGAATCAAAAATCGACTGATCTCGAATCGTCACCTTGGTCCAGGGTCGACTAATATGGAGTTCGTATACACCTGTATACGATCGTATTTTGAGGATCTACATGATTCAATATTACGATCGTATGTTGCCGTGACCGTATATAAACTCTGTATACGACACGGAGTTAATAGTTCGTGTGAAATGCTAGCAAACTGCTACTTTTAGCAGCAAATAGGTTCGAGTTTTAGGTGCACTTTTCATCGTTGTCGATTGTATTCAAATTGAAATTTCTAGTAATCTTATCATGGTTGTGTGAGATATATATACAATTATACAGAGGAATCGTCAGAAATATCATCTTTCAAAAAACTGCTTTGGTGTAGTGGTAGTGCATTTGAATGAAACCTACGTAATTACTTCTCTAGATTGTTATGAGTTGGTCGTCAAGTATTATAGCAATTTTAGTAATAATATGTCAGAGAAGCCATACATTAGAACCATTCGATCCATATAGACACGATGGCTCTTGTACGGCATCAATGTCAATCTGTTCCTTCGAATTACGTGCTACTGGAGCCATGACTATGTTCTATAAAAACCTCTTTCGAGTCGTTGCTACTGATAATGGTACATTATGTCATTACGAAGATTCTAGCCAAACATTTTCCATGAGTGAAATTATAACGGCCGATGGTTATCCAAAACTTGTAAGTTGATTTGATTTGATATTCGTCTTGCTATGCTTGACAGGGTTTTTGCTCATTTACCTAGGTGTACGTCTTCAATGATTCTCTACCGGGTCCTGTTCTACATGTGTATCAGAATCAAACAGTGCGCATACGTATTCACAATGATTTTCCAACAGAATCGCTTAGCGTTCATTTTCACGGTATTCGACAAGTGAATACACCAGAGAGTGATGGAGTTGGACGAATCACTCAACTCTCCATCTTATCGGGTTCTAGTTTTCAACATGAATTTATTGCATTGGATACTGGCACTTTCTGGTATCATTCACATGTTCAATCTCAGACAGCAATGGGGCTGTTAGGTGGTTTTGTTGTTCATCCTCGAAAAGTGACTAATCGAGAAGAAGAGGGTGAATTCGTATTGGTCCTCAATGATTGGCAACACTTTTACACCAGTGAGCAGCATCATTTACTCATCGAGAGCGGTCAATTCTATCCGAATAGTTTGGAATCGTTGAAAACATCGGGTACTATTGATTTTTTTGAAGCTGTTGATGGATCACGAGCAGCTGAAGCACTAGTCACTTCGATTCTCATCAATGGACGTGGTCAATATTTTGATCCGCATGCAGAAAATGATAGATCGAGTACGACACCATTAGAATATCTGAGAGTAGTTTCGGCACCCAGCAATGGCATTTACCGTCTGCGTTTGATTAATGGTGGTAGCGTATTCTCACTGAAATTCTCTATCGATGGTCATCCATTGAAAGTGATCGCATCGGATGGCATACCATTTGCAGACCCGATGATAGTCGATCAATTGATTATCGGTCTCGGAGAACGATACGATGTTTTAATTACAGCTACAATAAACAGAGCAATCAATTACTGGATTCGAGTCGATACCATGGATAAAAACAATAATCCACGATGGCATGCTCGAGCAATCTTACAGTATACGACTAATACGATTATGCCAACATCGAAACCACGAGAATGTACTACGAATCAACCGTGTCTTATTTTGAATTGTCCTTTCACTCAATACGGTCCAAACATTGCGGATAATGCCATGTCTCTGATTTGTTTGACTCCTCTAAATTTAACTACACATGCAGATCATCTTGATCGTGATCTTCTAGACGAAACAATGATACCTGAAGTACGCAAGACGCTTCAGTTGACCATTGTTAAACGTACCAATAAACGGGCTGGGTTCGAATCATTCAATTACATTGGTATGAAATATCCATCGATCGACAAACCAGTTCTCTACAATGCTCGACATGTTCGAGAAAACTATGCCTGTCCCAATCGTCTATTGGGCTATGATACCGGCGAACAATGTTATCATACCATAGTGGCTCAATATAACGATATTGTAGAATTAATACTTATCAATCATGATGATGATCAGCATCCTCTCCATTTACATGGCTCCTACTTTCATATTGTTGAACTTGGTCTAGCTCAATTGAATTCAACAACTGGTCAAATCAAAACTGACAATCCGAATGTGTACTGTAACGAACATGCTCAATGTTCATGCACAAAAGCGAATGGTGCATGCGAAAAAAATAATATGCGTTTAGTGAAGGATACAGTGCAGTTACCAAAAGGGGGGTAAGATTCGTGTTGTGTCAAGAGTGGAGACTTGATAAGAAGAGGCTTTTATTATTTTGTTTTAAATATAGATATATGAGAGTACGTTTTCGAGCGACGAATCCTGGTGTTTGGCTCTTCCATTGTCATACGGAACCACACTTAGATCGAGGCATGTCCATCAATATTCATGTTAGTATATTGATAGATATCATCGAACAGCAATCATCAAACACTTCTCTAATATATTTAGGTCGCCGAAGATCAAATATTTCAGTCGAAGAAAGTCAAGCAATAATATTTGCATACAATGGAATTTGAATGATACTGATTTTTGTTGCCTCAATTATATGATTGTCTAGCATTAAAAGAAGAATAAATGTTGCCTTTCTCTTGCGTCATCCCAAAAGCTTATATCTCGGGACCAAATTTCAAACCTGAAAAAATATCAGAAAAGTCTGGACATATAAACGAATCATCACCTGGATTGAAGTGGTTCGTAGTTGACGTTTTCACTCCTCAGTTTTGAACAGATCAATCTCGGAGTAGAATCAAAAAGATAGGTTGAGTGAAGAGAAGACCCACACTCAGAAACGTGTTTGAATGGGTTTTAGAATAAGTTTTTAAAATTAAAAAATTAACGTCTCAATCTATTTCAGATATAGAAGTCAGAAATATGCACCACTTAGCTATACAAGCTTGAAATCTCGTCTCGTCAAAAGAAATATATATTTGAATTTGTAACTTAAAAATATATCTGATTTACTAATAGAATTTTTCATTAATGTATTTCACATAATAACTCTCCAAGATGTCTTCTACCTGTGCTCCTTTTTCTTTTTCTCGTCGTTCGCATAGAAACCAATTATATTTTCCAAAGCGAAGTGGTAAAGAATTTAAAGATTTTATATTTAAAGACGTGTTCTATTTCTAATAACTACTTTGCTGGTGAAACCTTATCAATGACTTTTCTCCGTTCGACAGCTTGATTCTCTGAAATATGAATAAAGAGTGTGCAGTTCAACCGTGGATATCGATGCAGAACAAGAGAATATCTTCACCTGCGCCCACCCACAAACGACTGGTAGCAATTAGTCTACTCAGATCGTTGATTCTGGTCGAAATCGACCATATTCACCGGCTTTTCGGCATGTTTTCTGTGGACACCCGCTAGAGACAACTATGAACATAGAAGGAGTATTCCGGATAGCAAAGTCAGTGTGTCCAAACCTATGAATAACCACAGTACACCGACATAAAAAATGGAGAGGAATCGGCCAGAATTCTGTCGGAAAATATCTGAAAACCACAGGAAACTCAGTGGAACGATAAAAAGATCCACAAGAAACAATATGGAATTCCTGGCATCTAGCAGAATAATCCGATATAGAACGTATCGAAGCATCCATGATATTTTCACACCACGATGATGATTTGAGGACAAATATTCAGGTCGCACAAAGCAATCCGTACGAATCCTTTCACTATTATCATCAAAACACCAGAACAACAGAGAAACTCCACAATGTCCTATTAAGCTTTCAAATCTGACGACAAACTGACCTCGAATTTCCATCTAGGCGAAAATGATCTATGAAGCTTCTCGTGAAATTCGGGACATACAGAAAACTTATCAATGTGTTAGGTCAGTTTTACTAGAGAAAAAAAATATACCTTCATATTTTATTTATTCCCATATTCCATAACGAACTCTGCACTCACATAAAGACAACGCTTACTTTGATATCCAAAGATACAGAAAAATGATGAGCAACAACTTGGAAAGTAAGCAGTCTGTGCCGAATAGAGGGTTGCAGGTTACGCTATTTTGACAGCCTGTAACCTGCCCTGCTGAGATTTTGACAACCTGACCCTGCCCTGCCCTGTAAACTTTTTCGCGTACCCTGCCCTGTGAATTTATTTCATAACCGTTAACCTGCCCTGCCCTGCCCTGTCTTCTTTAAAACTGGAGAAAATTCGAAACTTTCACGTCAATTTATTGTTAAATTTCATTTCGATTTGTTACAACCATAAAGCAAAACCAAACAACATTATATATCTCGAAAATTTCTAATCATCAACAATATCTAGATTTAAAAATTGCCTTCTTTTTTCTAATACTCGACCTGATGAGCTAAAAACATGCTCCAATGTAGGTGTGGTGTGGGGTATGAATCTTCTCTTCGCACATCCACACCCTATTAAGAGATTTGTTGTTTTTTAGTGTATTTGATTCATCTAAACAATTTTTAAAATGATAGCTAATAGTAGAAGTTTCATTTGATATGGAATATGATAATATCTCATAGAACAACCGACGTACAGGGTAGGGCAGAGCAGGTTACCTATACCCTACAGAGCTCTATAGCTGTTTGAAGGGAGCATATATATCCACATCCACATCCTTTTAAAGGCAGCTGAATTTTACAGCCAACTACGACACATGCATATATACATAACTATAGTACTCGAGTTCTACTATATAGGCATATAACCAAAATTAATGTTGTCAAGTTTTAATGCATGACTGAAAACAAAAATACTTGTTAGCGCAGTCTCTTTGGAGCTGAAATGTGGAATTCATATATTTTCCTTAAGCTATGATAGCAAACTACTAGTGATATTCTGAGACGATAAAAATTAGTAAAGGGAAGGCTCAACTATTTTTCAAAAATTTGTGAAAAAATTTCAAAATTTTTAAAAGATGTCGTAAACTATAGCGGAAAAATTTTTGAACATTCTAGGAGAGAGGAAAATCCACCTGTGCCCCCCCCCCCCGCATCTCTCGGTATCTCTCTGCTAGTCACATACCACAAACTCATTCATAAGGTCTGTAATTCAGAAGGAGGGGAAGAGCCGCCAAAACTCGAATTCAAGCATGCACCAAATATAATTCTTTGTGTGCATTTGACTGGATTTGACAAGATTTGACTTGGATTTCATTAGCTTTATCTAGTGAATTCTGGTTAAAGGTAATTGAAGCCTGGGAATCCAAATCTGCAATCGATGTCTCACAATTTTGAGTTCATTGTTTCTATATGACATTGCTCGAAAACAAATTAATTTTTATTAAAACAACAGTTTTTCTCGGAAAAAGTTTTGTGACAAATAGTGATCTTTCCGAAAATACAAATTTTTTTTTCGAAAAAGTGAACTCAAAATTTTGAAAATTTGATTTCTGAATTGGACTCTCCGACTCTGATTTCCATTCGTCAACCTTTATAAAAAAAAATCGTTATTTTCTCAAAAAGTCCTTTTCTTAGTGAAAAAATTGAATTGTAAAGTTTGACAAACTAATTGTAGATTTGGATTCAACGACGCTGATTATCCTTATTTCAAATTCACTAATCAAATTTAAATTCAGTTGAACCCACCACCAAGTCCAGTCAAAGTCTAACGTTTAAATGTGACAAGATTTGGGTTTGATACATCTCTACTCGAATTTAAAACTTACACTCGTTATTTTCTTCGAAAATATGTGTGTTCCACAAAATAAAAAATTCGAGAAATGAACAATTATCCATGATGTGAGATTAGTAAATGCTGCAGCAGTTCCTCTAAACCCAAGCAACTAAGAGAAGGACTTTTAAGTCAACAGGATCAACACTTGGATGAAAAACAATTTACTGAAACCGTGACCAAAAAAGTTATTCCTGTACATCTCTAATCATAGATCTGTTTCTGTCACCAATATCTATTCCGAAAAATTAGTCCTAGATTAAGCTGTTATGATACCCGTGCATTGTAACCTGGTCTGTAAAATTTCTTGTAACCTTACTTTACCCTGCTTCTGATGTCATCTACAAGGTTCTAAATGGAAGTCATGATAAAAAAAAATACAATCGATGATAAGAATATTACGCAGAAACTATATTAAATGCGCCCATACGGTACATTCTATACGGCGAGTAAATAATAATAACCCATTACTCATTTGTTATACACAAGGTTATACACTACTCTATACATACGTATCGACATGGATGCGGATAAGTGAATGTGAATATCTTCGTTTGATCCACATGCGCAAGCACACTACAAACCTACACTACACACTCACGTTCACACCCACCCACACCCCACTCCCACTCTCAAGCAAAACTATAATCACTGTTTCTTTCTGTATATCATGTATTATTGTTAAGTGTTCCATATTATATTTATGTATTCATATTTGATGCGTCATTTAACAATTGATCCTCATTTTTTTCAACCTGAAGTTCTACATGGTCTTTCACCTCATCGAATTTTGGTTTCAAGTGAACTTTTTCAAAGACGTAATTACGATAAACACCTGCCTTTTTTGATATATACAATACGATAACATCGGAAACGAATGTCGCTATACCAAATATTCCAATTAATGAACCAATATTTAAAGTTAACGTAATAAAGTTAAATTTTCCAGCGTTGCCACTAACAGTAATTATAAAACGAAGACCATAAGCTTTCGTTAATGTACGAAAATGTTCTTCATTTTGTTTCCAAGTAGAAGTATAACGAAAATTAAACCCAACTGAAAATGGTTTTTCACGAAATGGTACATCAAGACGAGTAAATGTGTATTCAGGTTTACATAATTTTACATTTCGATCCAAATTACAGTTCCAATGAAGTTTAATATTTATAACACCACCATAACGTAACATTAAATCACGTTCAGTAATGTCATATTCAGCTTCTTTTAACATATAATCAATAGTAAATATTGGACAATCTTTATTATAAACTGAATCAAAAACGCATGGCTTCAAATTATCAACCATGTTTTTGGTTTTAATTCCAAATAAGGGAAATTCAATAAAAGTTTTTATAAATATTGTAAATTTAGGAACGCCTTGAACATACATTGACGATGAGTCACCATCTTCAGGTGGACACCAACCTAAACGAAAAGATTTCATAACAGTAAAAAAAAAAGCAATTTACGAGCTTTTTTAATAGAAACAAAACTCCATTAATGATCTTTCAATCATCCAATACTTTCTAATGAATAAATATTCTCTAGTCAAGTGATTTAATCACTTAGAAAAGTTTCGTCAATAATTTAGATAAACGCAAAAACTATCCTTGCTTTTTCTTCATGATTGATTGTTGCGATTCGAATATTAGCAGCAAACTTAATATTCTTAGAATGTAATATATGACAGTTCAACAAAAGCAGAAAAAGAGTTTAACTAAGTAATAGTGTACATTTTGTTTGAGTATTTATATTATTCCTAATGAAAGGTCGTCATTACAATATTTTTGATTCTTCAAGTTAATATTCAGTGAATCATATAAATATTTAAATCTAAGGCGATCAGAAAGCATCATGGAATTTTTCAGATATTATTCCTTGATGCGAAAACTTCGTAGACTTTCTAACTCGAATCAAATTTTCTTTATCGATCATTACAAATAGAGCATATATATCTATGAATAGTTGTGCTACTCAGTATCTAGGATGTTGAAGTTAGAGGCTGATTGAAATTACTGTTCACGTCTATAACTTTCAAACATTTTTTTTTTCTTTGAATTTTCGACTATGCAGCATAGAGATTTGTATCTCCTACAATAAAGATAATGACAGAGGACATTCAAACATCGTACACTAATAGCGTCGCAAAATTTCCCTACATACTCAATCGGAGTATTTTGTTTCTTTTAGTGCGATAGATTCCGACAATTGTAGTTTATACAATGATCAAAGAACGCATATTAATAACGTTTCATTCTTGATATATAAGCTAATTTTTTTTTTATTGGATTTTTAGAAAATTAAGTAGAAGCATAAGTAAACAAAAATGTATCTGAAAATGACTAGAGTAAAACAAGCTCTGTATGTTAAGCAACAACAATTACATACTTTTACATGTTTTATTCTAGTTAGAATTATGCTAATAAGTTTTCAATTAGTTTTTGTTTTTTAAATAGTATCTTGATTTATTTATGGTAAAAAGAATTCTTCTTCAATTCTGCTATCTACACAAAAAGTTTACCTGCATATTCACATAAACCCGTTGAACTTTTTATGGCAGCTCCTGTCTGATTGACAATATTTTTCTCTGGTGTAAATAAACATCGACCTGTCCACCGTCCATTCATGGCCGGTATAAATGGTTGATTTGAACACATATCGTCATTTATACATATTGCTTGTTTTAATCTTATACTTTCAGGACATATCGATTGTTTTTGATTAGTTTGAATAAAATTGGACATGATGAATATAGCATCGTTTTCCGATGGTGGAATAACATAATCTATTAAAATATAACAAGTGATTCGCCTATATTAATAAAATTCTTGATTTCTCATCATACCTGCGACATCCATAATAATAGTCTTATTTGGTGGCATTCCAACTTGACCGATACCTTTGGCTTTAAGTGTGACTGATGATATCACTGTGGTATCATGTATTTGATAACCTTTTCGGTATATAAGTAAATATAATGTAGAATATGTGAATATAACTACTTGAATAATACGAAGTAAAACAGCATATCGTACGCTGTGTATTAATACAAATTTTGGTGTTTTATATTCAGTAAGATAACGCATAAAAGTATGTTTGATATTATCACAATAAAAATGAAAACGATCTTTCGCCAGTGGATTGGAACTCGTGGTTTCTTAATAAAATGTTTTATTTATTCTAAAATAGCAATAATAATTATGTTCAATAATTTTTACAGAATACACAATCACATATACTGAATATATTATTTATATATTTTCTCATAATATCTCTAATGTTTATCTTGTAATAATAAAATTCATATAAGATACATTTTAGTATTGATGTGGGCAGAAATATGCGCGTCTAAATGAAATATGTAATATTCTAAGTGTATTAAAAAGAGAATGACTATTAATGTAATGAAAAAAAACGGTAGATGAACATCAATTTTTGTAATAACCTTGTATATAAGAGAAATTTATTAGCGCAATCTCATTGAAATTAAAATGTAAAACACGATGTAGCTATTTTAACTTATTTCATGACAATGACCTTTTTTTCCATCTGTTGTGAAGCACATTTCTCAATGGGGAAACATCGTACTTTTGTACTTTAAAATACGTTAAAACACTTTAACCCTTTGGGGACGGTTGACCTCTTAAGGGACCATGGTGATCCTCTAGCATTTCAAAACGCACTGACTCCTATATGACATTAATTTTTGTGAAAGCATTTATCAGAGAGTGTTTTGGTATAATTTGGATTGTAATTAGGTTATTTTATTCAGATATCCAGTAATGGATAATAAGTGTAACAAAGCTGACTTTCAGAGAAAAAACTCTATAATCTAGGATCCTTGTCAGCAACGTTGGTCTCTATATGGGGACATGGTACGTGGTGTTCTACATGCGAATTCTTTTTTCTTCTTTCCTTTCCTCTTCTACTGTTGTAGTATGACGTTCCTCACTCATGCAAGATTATTCAATTGAACATACATCTGACAAAAGAAGGGGAAGAAAGTGTCATATCTGCTATAATATAACAACAGTCCCAAAGAAAGAAACTAAAACAATTTATGAGTGTGTTGAATGTAATATTGATTTATATGTTGTACCTTATTTTGAGTTATATCACACTTTAAAAAACTTCTAAACACACGTTTTCATAACTTCTTTTAGAAAATAGAAATGGTGATTGATTTATGATGAAATACACAGAAAAAGAAAATCCGTCCCCAAAGGGTTAAGATATTTTAAGGTATTTTAAAGTATCCTAACGTATCTTAAAATACTTTAAAGTACAATAACATACATTAAAGTACGTAGAGTATAAAAGTACGATGTTTCCCCCTTTGGAGGGGAACTTAATTGGAATTTCAAATTTTTATACCTTCACGTGTCTAAGTCCGAAGATTTTGTAAACGTTGATTTCTAACTAAAGGTTTACTGAACTTGTTCATTTACTCTTTCACACATTCTGTTTGTATTTCTATTTAGTTTTCGTTTCAAACTATTGAAAATCGTTACTTTCCTACTAGTACTTGCCTGAGACCGAAACCGAAACTAATTAAGATCTAGTAGAATTGATTCGAATCTAAATGAAATTTTTCTCACTCATTTTGCTCTTTAGTACCTACGGTAGCAACTTTAGTGAAAGTTGAATATTTTTGATGAAAATCTTCTATCGCGATATGAAGTCTTCCGAAATTATTGTGTTGGGTGATCTCCTTTCCTGCTGGACAATTTTGTGGTTAAAATTTTTTAAGTATATCTGATTTCTATCTGTAAGCCCTTTTTTTTTGGATCTGAGGAAAAATCTTTATTTTTGTATATTTCAAACAAAGTTGATAGCTATAAAAAAATCATTTATAAATGTCTGTCACTGGATTAAAAATTGCTATCCTCTTTTGTCATCAGAAAAGAATAGTTGATTTTCTAAAAAACACGGTGAAGATATTTCAATCTTGTTTTTTGCTAGTTATTACTTGGACATTCTATATACTATGTGTGAAAAATATTGTATTCCATTTAGACAAAGGTTCACCTACAACAATCAATACATTTGTTATACGATAGAAGAAATTTCACTCTGTAAGAATCAAGTCTGATATCAATCATTTTCATCACTTACCATTATGATTGGTGAACCTGTCTTGAAAATGTATTGATTGCAAAGCGAAATCAGAAAAAAGCTATTTGAATACATCAAATACTAATCGACTTTCTCAATTTGATCGTCACATGTTGCTAAAAGTAAATAACTTTAGACAGATTAAACTATTCGAAATTCTCAATTTGTAATATCTATGAGTGATTATAAAGTTTTCGGAATAATTAACTTCAAAATCTTAATTATTCTACTACATGTAATATCTATAATTCTTTTTCTTCTTCACCAATGTTTCGAACAATTCTCTTCTGTCTACGTTCTTCGAATATGCGTTGATTTTTCAATATCTTTGTTCTACTAGCTGAATACCAAAGTAATGATCTGGAGAATTTCTGTCTTATTTGTATGAAAATAATGCTAACGACTATATTCTTTCATTTATGATCGATGAAAGAATATCTAGAAAAGTATATAGTAGTTGTAACAGAAAATTTTGAAAAATTTCCTAAGATTTCTTGCATAAATTGCTACTCTTCGAGCGATCTGCTTACATTACTCTCAAGAATCAATAGGTAAATAGTATCTTTAGTGTTAAACTGTGTCTACATATCCAAAACGTCTCCTTCCACATGTTTTAACCAAAGAGAAATGTTTCCTGTGACTAGAAGAAAACAATAAAAACCCAATTCTCCACATCTGAGAAGACGAGGTTGAGTTATACATTACTCTCAGACTCTTTTCTATAATTTTTGTTGCTCGTCAGCTTCGGACGCATATTTCTTTATTTCCTAAATATTTTCCTTCCTTATGCATGCTCGAAAAAATTGCTTGTGCCCTCATAGGTCTCAGAACATACATATTAGAAATTAAATCTTATTAGTGCAGCCTCTTGGGAGCTGTAATCTGGAATTCACATATTTCTCATAAACTATAATACCTAACTGCTAGTGGTACTCTGGAACAATAAAAATTAGTCAAGGATTGACTATTTTTCAAAATTTCTAAAAGAAGTCGTAAACTAGAACGAAAAAAAAATTTGAACATTCTAAGAGATAGAGAGATCAAGCCCTCCCTCCTGCACTGCTCGGAATCTCTCTGCTAGTCATATATTATAAACTCATTGGTAAAGTCAGTAATGAAGGCTTGCATTACTATGGTCTGTAATCAGGAATGGAAGGCGGAGTGTCGAAACTCGAACTGAAAACTTACACTCAATATTGTCTTCGAAAATATATGTAAGGTGTAATTAATTCTGATACACAAAAGGAAAGCCTCAATCAAGAAACGATCAGCACTATTACAAAAAAAAAACTACCTACCACAATTATAATACAAGATTTGAATCACAAGAAACAATTGTGTAAAACATGTTTCAAAGATTAGGAAACCCGTTCTATGTTTGCGACTCTTTCGTAAACTACTAATCATTCCCCAATTTGCAAGAGTGAAAACTGAGTCAAACTAAATTCATTATTATGTTATTCACTATAGTATCGGGCTCTGATATGAATAAATATATTTGAATGTTGAGTAGACTAAATACAAATAACATATTCTGAGTTACCGTGAAATAATGTCCGAAGGCGATCGAAGTACAAAAAGAATCAGTAAATACACTAGTTGTATATTTAAATGAATGACGAACAACCAAAAATTATATGATGATAAATACGTTTGTCATCCTCTTTTATAATAGTGATTATTCATCCATAGATTTTTATTCTTTTACTTTAGTCTACAAACGAAGTCGGCAAATAAAAGAAAATGTAGGCAATACTTTTTCTCGTTTTACACATAAAATGATCATTAAATTAATGGATAGAAAGAAAATAAGCGTAAAAATACAGTCACATGCTCTCTTAGATTGATTACGCACGTGTAGGTGATTAGATATGAGAAGATATGTAAACATGGCTTTTGTTTTTTCTCCTTTATGTACACACGGTTTCTTGATATTTTCGACCTTATGAAGAGAGCATAAGCGACGTAAGTAGAGACAATCTTAAGGGTAAAAGTCAGAGGTTTTCAGTATTTAAATTCAGGAAGTTAACAATTAGTTTTTTAGATACAATAATAATCACCATGAGTAAAACTAATGATGAATTGTTATTTTCCAATATGTTAATATTTTTGTCTTGCTTTTGAAATTTATTTATTTTTTTTTTATTGATAGAAAATACTAAAAAGATAAGAATATAGAAGTCCAGCAAAAAACTAAATCATTTGAATCTTAAGAAAATAATTTAGATCAGAGATTTTTTTTTTAAATTAATTATTATCAAATGATTTTCAAAAATTAACTCAGCAAGATGATGTATGACTAATGCTTTCGCAAACAATATACTAAATAAAATAACAGAATATAAATTTATATAGAAAAAATATTCAAAATAAATTATAAGATATATTCTGAACAACTCCTCAAATTGTCATTGATCAAATGCTTTTTAATTCTCTATTATACTTGTTTCAATGATGCTAAAAACTAACTCATGAACAAAATAAGACTATGTATACAAAATTTACTACAACAAAGGATATTGATGGTAATTAATATCAGTTTATAGATAGAATGTCAATTTTTCCCATTACATACTTATTATTAGATATCAAAAAGAAGACAAATAATAAAAGTATAGTATAATGTGCCATTAAAGTATACTCTCAACTATATGATTACAAACGAGAATGACTTCTGAAATGTTGTGAATAGAAGCAGTTCAATCAACAGAACACGAATGGTTGTATCATATAAGAAGACGCAAGGTTAAGGACGTCATATGATGCGTTTTGACTGTCATCTATAAAATCTTAATTGACATGTTAAAAGTCTATCATCACTTTTTAACCCTAGGAAGCTGTCGTTATTTTATCATACAAAGGGTGATATGTAGGTCCAGTCGGATTCACATATAAATCAATAAAGAAAACTTGTTTTTTTGGTCTTCTTGAAGCTAGACATGAATGAATTGAGATCTATATTATGAGTTTTCAAGCATGGATACCTTGATATAGATTCTTATGTATGAAAATATTTGCAGTATAAAAACTCTTTCTAAGAAGAAATCCTAAAATTACGATACTAAAATATTATTGAATAAATTATAGACATCACAGCAGCACAAACAAGTGAATGTCTTCAAATATATCGGTATATATAGTCACTCATATTAGAAATCAGAAGAATTATTTTTTATGTTTAATAATGGATAAAATAAAATAAAATAAAATCAATATCATGCGTGAACTTTTTCCAGTTCTTTCTGTCAACTATTATTTGTTCGTGCATCAAATTTTATACTATTGAATAATTTGTTTCACATGATTGATAAACAACTGTTTTAATACTTGTAGAATGAGATTTGCAAACAGAGGTGAATGGATGTGGATGTGAGAGTTTTTCAAGTTTAGTTATTTTCAAAAAGAAAAACGAATATTATATCATGGTGATTATATTAGAAAAAAAGATCGTTAGGAAAAGCAGAAGTATTGAAGCAGCAAAAAACGAAAAACAATGTTGTTGGTCTTGTCGAACCCCGAAAAGTGTCGAAGGATTAACAAACCCGGTGATTGTATCCTAAATAATAATCGTACAATCTTGACTACCATGCATAACCAACATTTATCGTTACCAATACAATAACATGTTATATTATTTCTCTAAAGAAAAAAAAAAATTTTTTTTTCGAAATATTTTTTAGAAGAATTTACATGTTCGACGAATAATTGTTGTCGATTATTTGAAAAATCATAATTTGATGAGGAGTCAGATTAATTCATTTGGATATATATATATACTTCTATTTCTGTTTGTACATGAGATTTTTCTTTTTTTTTTAATATACAGATGAAATTTTATTTTGAATTTTGATTGAAGATCTGAATAAATACAGGAAATGTTATGTGTTTTCTTTTTTTTTTTGATAAAACTTTGAAAGTTTTCATGGAGACACAAGTTTATTTATTCTATTCACTTTTTTCACATACTAAAAAAAGAGAATGTGATTAAATGAATAACAAAAAATTTAACTATACACCATTACTATTGATGTCAATCATTTATTGACTATGTAGAATACGAATGATAATCATTTATAAACAGTAGTGTAATTGGTGAAGGCATAAGAAGAATTTTTGCCAATCAAGACAATACTATTCATATACCTGTCCATAGACTCCATTAAAATAAGAATGTGGCTCAAAGGAAGTAACACACCGACAAAAATCATTTCTGCTAATTTATCGTATCTATATTGCCTTTTTGTCACAAGCAATAGTGATGTCTATGCTGACAATGAACTAACGAGGGTGTGAATGTGAATGAAGCCACTACTTACAATCATTCACAGCCACACCCATCCACACCTTGGATTAACTTGTCTATAATAAAAAATAATTATGGTTTTTACTTAGATATTTTTTACTGAGGTAAGTTGCTTTATGAATCTGAACTCTGTAGTTTATCGATGGACCAGCCCGAAAATATCAATGATTCTTTAGAATCCCGAAAACATAGTACCGTCTGTTTCTCTTCGTACTTCATGCGACGAATAAGGGATTTCTCCGGTTCTCATTGCGATTTGAAATTATATAGTTGTATTTTTAAAAAATGTGAGGCTATTCTTAAGTTCACGGTTGTCCTGATTATTGTTCGGCAACACGTTGAAGGCTGACAATAAGTAAGAAGTAAAAGGATTATTTTTGTAGAAGAGCAAAGTCTTCAGGTGTTACTGAAAGATCAGCGGCTGCCCAACAATTAGCAAACGATCAGCGGCAACAACAATCGTTATTTATGGTGAATGCTCTGTTGCTGTTCCATCTCTGACTCTTTTCAACTTTTACTAATTTGCTTCCATGTTTATAGAATGAAGGCAAAAAAAGATCGTAAAAATTTATTTACTAAATGAACAAAGTGCTATATAAAATTGCTTCTACAATAGATATATGGATTAGTATCAGTTGCTGTGACCTTTTTTTCCTTTTGTGAAATTGCGAAGATCTCTTTCTCATTCTCTTGTATTTCTATCGAATATATAGAATTCTGGTTAAGGAATGTAAACAACACGCCAAGTTTGGTTACTTTCATTCTCACCTCATAACAGCGGACCTCCTTTGAAAATGCAAACATACATAATTAACAGCGGCATCAAGTAAAAAAGCCCTTGAAGTCCCTTTCACTCTTCGAACGAGACTGCAAGAGAAAGATGGAGTAGTGCTCACGTCAAATCTTGGTGAAACAGAATTATAATGCAACACATTGAGTGACAGAAAAATGGTTGTCTTTATTGTTATTTATTTCAGAAACTTACAAGGAAACATTCTCAGATATTCATTCTCTTTGAGCCAAGACGTTATGAATCATGTAGACTCTGTTGAGCTAAGAATACTCTAAAAAAAAAATTTGTCCCCATATCTTGTTGTGTGCATATGCGCATGGCTGTGTTCATGCACAGAAAAAGCGCATTCTTTCTTTCTCTTTCAACGAGTGTGTATAGCTATTTAATCTCAATGCGACCTTATGTAGTGTAAGTAAAAAGAAAAAAAGTAACTACACAATGATCTCAGTTTGAAACTCTCAAGGTTTATTTGAATAGAGCAACATAAAAAGAGATTTAATCGAACTGGAATAGATGAAGATGGTTGATTCAATCGGATTTGATATGCGTTGTATAAGTTTGTCTGGAAAAAGGACAAACACGACTCTTTATTATGCAATACTTTTGTTATTAATTATTTTTATTGACAAGATTCCTTGTGGACGCTTTTTTCAATTGAGTCCTAGATTTTTTGACACGGGCAAATATTATAAATGATAAGTGGAAAAGCAATACTCAGATGACTTTTTCTCCTATGCCTGTGTCAGTGTTATTAGCTGTTTATATCAATAAATTCAGAAAGAAAAAGAGAGCCTCTTCAAAAGAAAAAATTATAGTATGGAACAAAAGTATTGGCTTGGTATTATTGCTGTACCTTACGTACAAAAAAGTGCGTTGCATGACGAGTCATGAGTGAAGAACGAGAGAGCGAGAGAAAGAAAATGTTTGCCATTACACGTCAAGATATTATTTAACACATTCAGTTCAATTCAGTTTTATTATAGAATAGCTCTAGCAGATTCATTTTTGTGTGCATTCGTTGTTTTCTCTTTTCTGATTGGTATATCACATGAACAGTTATTTGTATGTATCACATACTGATTTTTACCAACATGACGTATTGGTTTTTTCCTAGTATGTTATCACATGTTCTATATTGGACTTTTCCTAATAATATACTCGTTTACATCATACTTGGTACTCTTGATCATGCTTATATATGTGTGTGCCGGTGCTTATCTTCTTGCAGTCATTCGCTACTACATTCACTAGTTCTCTTGCTAATTCTATTCTTCTCTTTCCTTTTTTTCTATTTTAAAACCCTCTTTATGATGGTGACATACGTATATCTTGATTGTTTTAACGAGAAGCATCATGCTATGGAATAGAGGACCGAAAAAAAATACTGAAGACAGAGCAGATGACACATTATGTGTAGTCTTCTGCCTAAGTAAAGGGCAAAAGGAAGTGGTTTTCTGTACAGTTTCTTCTTAAAATATAGTGTGACCCCACAGTGAGTCACATCGGGCTGAATGTGTTAATATAATGAGCTTATTTCATATCTTGAATTAAAACTGATCTTTGAACAAAAATAATATAATCAAGACCTACAAATGTATCGATTTGTTTAGCTGATATTTGTACCGATAATGATTGTTCGATTAGTAAACATAAATAATAAACATATAAATTATATAATAATTGTCCTGTTATTAATGATACTAATCTAAATGGTAATGTAAAATAAAACTTTAATAAATAATGATAATAAAATATAATACCAATTTAACCATTCAGCATGATCACATGTAATAATATTTACAAATGATGTAAATTCAGTAATTAAACTTAATGCTGTAAACTCAATTGATACTTGTTTATATTAATTAATACCCAATCAGATAATATTAATGCTGATCCTAAATATCATGTTACTTGATACCAATCTAATGTGAAACCTCCACCACTAATTGCAATACCAGGCACTTCTGCTAATTGTGCTAAGGCATTATGACTAGACTTAATCCAACATATTCAAGAAAAATATGATAATATTGACATTATATATAATGGAAACTATTCATATATAAATGATATTAATATAAAAAATTATAAAAGATTATTCATTAAATTTTGTTTTAAATTTTGATTTTGATTTTCATATGATGTTTTTATAACACTTAATTAATGTTCATGAAATGTACGTAATACAGCTATTAGCGATAAATTTTACAGTCAAATAACATCATATGGTCAAACGAAAAACCAACGATGAATATCTTTTTCAAATCAAATTAAATTTTATATTTAATTAATTGAATAGAATTGTTTAGATTTACCTGTAAGATCAAATCCAAGAAATTGAATTGAAAGAACAAAAAAGAACTAATATGTAAAATTAAGTTTATCATTTTCAAATACTTTTAATATTGCATAAATAAATACTGAATTATACATATAAACAAAATTAGTTTTTTTTAATATAAATCTTTCTGATTTAGATATAATTAATTGCTATATGTATTCTAATGGTTACGCAACAATAATAACTAAAACAGATGATAAATACTAAGAAGTAATAGTTATTTTTCTAAAATTTCATGGATATAATCAATAATTAGTATGACGAATATTCGCGTTCTTTACAGCACGAAAACGAAATAGATCCCGTAATAAAAGAGTTTCAAATAACACAATGTTTGTTTTCATGTTTTTAAAAGATCTGAAATGTGTTTTTTAGAGTTTCTTAATGGTAAAATTTGTGTACCGTCCCTCGTAATATTTTTTTTAACTTCATTTTTTTTATTATTATTTCAATATTTTTAGGCTAGGTATCAATTATTTCTGATATTCTTCGCATTGTAAATCAGATCTAGCTTGAACTTCTTCATAAAAGAAATTTTTCTATGCCCAGATGCCATCAAATTCTAGAAATTTCATGAGTTTAATGCTAAAAGATTATTATGACTCTTACTATTTATGACCAATAAATTCCACTTTTTGATGCATTTTAATTTGGTATAAAATTTGTTGTTGATACTAGTTGAAATCATAGCATTATCCCTCTGAAATAATATTATTTCTCATTCTTTATAACATGTTTCTTCTTCTTCTTTTTTATCAAATATTTATTCAGATATTATCTTATTTGATTTATTATTTATTATATATTTTTACTAAGATAAATCGAAATCGATCAATAATCTAATGTAATATGAATATATATTTATATTGATATCAATCTGTTTTATTTAGATGAATACAAGATGACCCACAAGTTACCGGACAGTCTTTGATTGTGAATACATTTTGATGGGAACAAGATAGAGAGCTTGAGCTTTCACAATTTGAAATAGGATATGTTACCGCATAGTTCGATATATTGTTCAATGGTTTCATCTGATGATGAAATCATAGATTACTGGTTTTCGGAAAAATAGTGATACTCCCTATGACAATGACATCGAAGTTCAATTATAAGAAGTGCATCAGACTCACGTACTTACGATCCACGCCCACACTGATTCTCGAAATTTTTATCTTCTTTCGTTCAAATGCTATAGATGCAACACTAGGTGATGAGACTGTGAGCGTAGATCGTAAGTACGTAGGATTGATGCACTTATTACAATTGAACTTGTATATCATCGTCATAGGAGGTATCACTATTTTTCCAAAAACTAGTAATCTATGATCTTATCATCAGACGAAACCATTGACTAATACATTGAACTATGCAGTGATGCATCCTATTTCAAATGGTGAAAGCTGCAGCTCTCTATCTTATTCCCATAAAAATCTATTTACAATTAAAGACTGTCCGGTAACTTTTGGATCGCCCTGTATAACATATATATTAGTCTTTTTAAATCAACATTAAGAATCAACATTTTTAAATAAATTTTTATTATAATCAAATTTGTTTTTGTCTTTATTCGTTATATTTACTCTTGTTCAAATATCATTTATAAAAACTGAAATATTCAAGTAGATAGACATATATGTTCATTTTTTTTTCTTCTCATCATATTTATCATCACTCGAAAAACAAAAATATTAAAATAATAAATCATCTCAAGCATTTTTCATTTATTTATCTAACCAGATTTATAATTAAACTCATCAAAAAAAAAATAGAAACTTTTGTATTGAGATGTCGATTTATGACCAAAAGAAAATATATAAACTTTTATTAAAATTCGAATCATAAGAATAGGACAAATTATCTTGTTAAACTTTATTTTACTTTATTTCATTTATTTGAACGTACTTGAAAAAAAAAACTGTTAAATCATCAATATAATAAATAAAATATTGATAATGTAAGAAAAAAAAAGCAGGATAACTAATTAAATAATTCTACATATTAAAAATATGTTTGAGCAAACTGATAAACAAATAATTATTTATTTTATTCGATTTTAATTTTTTTGTTTTTATTCTTTTCAAAGATGATAAAATCTTGAGATAATTTTAATGAAGCAAAAAAAAATTCTCGTTAAACAACATTCGAATATTAAAAAAAAATCGATCATAAATTTATTTAAAAAACAGATTCGTTAAATAATTGGTTGACATATTCTTGCCTATAAATATTATTCATTAGGAAGAAACTCGTTTAATTGATGTCAATGGTCTATTGATCACGAAAATAAATGTAACGATATTTTTTGTGTTCTTTTTTTTTTGATTACCTTTCGATCGGTGAATAAATAAGCGCATGACTAGTTACAATGATCATCATTTACAATGTATTTCGTCGTTTTTTTTTGGTCAATTATAATCATTTTCATACATTTTGTTTTTTTCTTATTTCGAACTAAACGATTTTATTGACGACAATATTATTCACTGTATATATGTATATCATATTCGATGTTTTATTTTCACAAAAATAAATAAATAAATAAATAAAATAAAATAAAAAACAATTTATTTTAGATAAAATGGATAAAAAATCATCTGAAAAAGACCCTATAGATAAGGATGAAGAATCAAAATCTTTGTAAGTTAAAAATAAATTAATTTATTGTTAATATTGATTAAATAAAAATTTTTAGAATACAAAAAATCTATTCGATAATTCGTGAAAATTGGCTTCCATTATTATGTGCATTAATAATAAGTATAATAACAATAATTGTTGTTCCTATTATTTATTCAATTAAACCAACACCACCTCCTAGTATTTATTATTTTATAAATAAAATAAATAATATATATTTATGATTATTTAGATAATGGTACTAATTTAGAGTGGAATGTAACAGGAATATTATATATTGATCAATATGTTATGATGAATAAAATAAGTTTAGCATTAGGAGAGATATCAGCATTATCATTTGATCAAGAATCTTATCTTTATATTGTTGATAAAACAAATCATAGAATATTGAAAATAGAAGGTGATCAAATAAGGATTATTGTTGGTCATCCAAATGGAACAAATGGTACTGATATGACTTCTTTAAATTTTCCAAATGATATTTATATTGATCAATTGAATGATATATATATAGCTGATACAGAAAATCATAGAATTCAATTATGGAAAAAAGAATCTTCACAAATTACAACTATATTTGGAAAAGGTATTCACATTTATATTTAAAACAAAAAATATTTATTTAATAATAAATTCTATTTTTATAGATGGAAAAGGTTCAGGAAATAATCAATTAAATAGGCCAATGTCCGTTACAACGGATAATGATGTAACTATTTATATAGCTGATTATGGTAATGATCGTATTGTATCATTTAATATAAATAATAGTCAAGCATATACATATCTTACAAAGCAAGATAATCAAGAAAGAAATCAATACGTTATAACTCCAATATCAATTGCCTATGATTCAAAAACACAGACAATTGTTATTGCTCAAGAATTAGGTTATAATGTTATTCGATGGAATACAAGTTCAACATATTGGACATTAATTGCTGGATCAGCTAGTTCAGAACTTAGTGGAACATCAAGAACATTATTTAATAAATTACGTCATATTTATGTTGATAGATTTGGACATTTATATGTTACTGATTGTTTTAATCAACGTATTCAATTTTTTAAATATTCTCCTAACGAGTTAGTAAAAGGTAGAACAATAGCTGGTGTTATATTAGCTATTGGAAATAATCCTTATATATTTAATAATCCAACGGCTATGACTCTTGATCGTTCTGAAAATCTTTATGTTGCAGATTCATTAAATTATCGTGTACAATCATTTGAACAACAAGTTAAAGACATTTCATTTTAATTGACTTTTATTTTTGCCTAAATAAAACTTTTTATTCATTTAAAAAAAGAAAAAGTTTAAAATAGAAAATCATTCTTATATTTTATATATTTATTTAATCATTTATGTATAAAATGAAATTGAGATTAAAATAAAAAGCATTATTAAAAGATTCAATGTTGTTAAGAATTTCTCTAGCATCTACTGTTGATTCAAATAGATCAGAGATATGTACATTTTTTTTTCTAGTAGTTTACAATATCATTTATTGTTTGTGTCTCCACTATCTTTGCTTCTTGTTCAACATAGTCGTCACAATGAAAAGTTTTTTATTATTGACTAATTTTATCTACGATCAATTTTTGTGAAACTGTTGAAAATATCGAGTAAGTATGAAATTTCGTTGAATAAGTATTTATTTATCAAAATAATTCATTTTATAGTTAACCATAGAAGATATCGATAAAGATCTTCTATTTTAAATATTCATAAAAGATCTTTCACATATATATCTAATAAGAATTTATCGACTTGTCTAGAATGATATAATTATGGCAATTTAGAGAAAAAAATCGTGAATAAAATTTTCTGACTATGATCATTTTTTATAATGTGCTTGTGTCGTCGCTAGAAGTACAGATCTACCTATCTTAATTAATATTAGTAATTGGCATATGACACTGACATAGTTTATATTGATATTCAATGATAAATCTATAAAATTTAACCTAAAAAACTTTTACACTTTTCTTCAAATCGGTTTAGTGTCGATAGTCAATAATAACAAATATTTTTTATAAAATATAATGTCTGTTCATCGAGTTGCTTGTTGATTAGGTGACAAGATTATATTGATAAAATTTGAAAAGATCGATGGATGAATATTTACAATATGATATATAATCATAGAGAAACTTTGATAAATAAAATAAAAGTATGTTCCATTTCGTTCCATCGTTTGGTCTAAATAATGTCTTTAATCAATTATCATTCATTTGAACATTTTCAATGTTCAAATAATTAACAAATTTTTTCATATTCTAAGATTTTTGATGGACTTTAAACATCGTTGTGCATTTATCTTCAGATTATTTGCTTGTTTGACCATTCTATTTGAGTATGCATCTATCTTCTTTCTTTATATATTTTTCTTATATATTTATATGCATTAAAGTAATTTGCGCTACCAGCATTTATTATCCATATAGACTTATATTGGTTGAGACTTGGTGTGGAACTAGTGTTATCAATAATGTTTTATAAATCTTCGTTGAAGAGTATATTAATTGTTGTCAGATCTCTGACAATGTCCTTAATCTTAATTAAACAAGATTCGATATATATATTCAAAATACAAAAAATAAATCATTCGAAAACTATTCTTATTTTAAATGCACAATAGTGGAGAATGTTGTTTTCTCAAAAACTCTTATCATTCTATTCCCTATTTGACCTCCGTTCTATCATGTAGATGTTGATCGATCTCTAATTTGATGTAATATTAAATTAAGTTAATATATCAGTATTATTGATTTATTGAAAGTATATATATATATATACATATTGAGTTAATTATGTTTGATCTCTATTTAAAATAAAGACCAAAAAGTAAAATTAACGAAAGACGATTTATTATGGAAAATTTAATTCGAATTCACTTGAATAATCTACAAACAATATTGATTAAAAAATAAAGTAATTATTTAATTGATCTTATTTAATAAAGATTGAAAATTAGTTAAATTTTGGGTATGGAGTGTGAATATTAGTGAGATGTGGGTGTGCATGTGTACAGATAAGATTCTTGATGAAAAGAAGACACACCCGCATCCATACGTACCACACTCATACTGACATCCACACCCTTTATATAATAGAATGGAAAAGAATATGTAGCTGATGAATGATATCATCAAACTCTTTAGACACTGAACATCAATGTAATATTAAAATTTCATTTTTTTTCTCTCTATCTTTCTATTTCTTTTTTCCAAAACGCTGATTTACAATATATTATTCTAACAAAGTATATAGTAAATATGAAATAAAGTAGTTTGTTCCTGCAATTTGTATGAGAAAGTGCAACGTTATCTATCCTATTACATGATACAGTAGTCACAAAAAGTAGCGCTACCAGGTGAAAACTATCTAAACCTTAACCGTTTGGACTGATATTTTTACCATAAATAGAACTCAGTGAACCATGATCGCAGGCACCAGCCCGACCTCAATCAGTTGATGTATAACGGAATTAGTAGCACAATCGTATCATGCCTTTGTAAAGACCGTATCTCAACCATTTTTCGATGTTCAATTTTGCGCGACCCCTCATTCAAAAACTCAACATCGGCATTATCTGTTGTGAAAGTTTAGTAAAAAATCACTTTGAATTAATGGAGATATGCTCTTCGTATTGAAAACGCCTGCCAAGCAGTTAGTGTTAATTTTCAGTCTAATGTCAAATAGCTCAACTTAACTTTGACCGATTCAGTTGAAAATTTTAGCCATGAGTTCTCATGAGCCTAGCAATTCGTGATAAAAGTTACAGAATCGTAGCTCAAAGTAATGTCGAGACAGAGTCATCAAAATACTTCATCACGGCACAGCTTGTCAATCAATGAGATCTCAATATTATGGGATGAGCTTTTGACTTGGTACACTAGATATAGGGAACTGCATTTAGCATTAAAAAAAACTTAAATAAATTGTAGTACCGTAAAACTATAAACAAAAGCATTCTGACATCACATTTTTTGCTTATGGTCTTTATAAAGACGATGATACGATTGAGCTACTAATTCCATTATACATCAACTGATTGAGGTTGGGCTGGTGCTGCGATGAGGGTTCACTGAGTTATATTTATGGTAAAAATATTAGCCCAAATGGTTAAGTTTTAGATAGTTTTCATCTGGTAGCACTACTTTTTGTGATTACTGTAAATACTAAATAATGGCTCACATCTGCCATCATGTTGCCTGAAATTACATCCGAGCTATGAGTATAACTGATTAAAATTTAACGATACATTTATAGTTTTGACTTTGTGTTAGTTACAAATACTTGGATGAATATTTTCTATGATTCGTCATTGTTGCCCTAGTCGACTCTTCCTTGAAGAGTCTCTGGTGAGTGACCTGAAAAATACGAAATCCTTGAGGAATCATTACGAAGTCATGAAAAGAATCCCCAAGAACTCATTGTTGATTCCCGGAGAAACTCTTTGAGAATTCCTAGTTTTTAGGAAGTAAGAAGTAAGTTAAAAACTTCCTAGGAGCCATTGTACGAGAGAAACGACACAAATACGAATCATATGCTCAATTGATGTCATAGATTTCAATGAAGTTTTCCCAGTATGTAGCTCTAAGTGAGATATAAAGACACCATCAGGTAACAAATGATGATGATCGATGCAGTATCCATTCATTTTATATTTTGCCATTTTTCTACAATAATGTTTTTAACCACGAAAGTCTGTAGGTATATACTACCATAGGTATTTTACATAATGACATACTCAAAATCAGTTTTGATCGTGCTAAATGATATAACAGAAATGCATAGGTCATACATAGTTCCTCTATCTTGTGGCCAGGATTTCTATTACTTATGAGCGACCTATGAGCTCACGCTTTGGAACTAAGTACTACTAGCTATCAGCACCAATTTTCAGAATATTGATTTTTTGGTTTTGATTCGAACAAGTGATTGATATAATTTACAGATCTAGATTTTATGGTCTAAAAATAAATTTTACTGTAGCAAAGTTTTTCTTTCTTCATCTATTCTTGTATTCAATGAAGACAATAGTTTGCTACATATCAGATTTTATGATCTGAGCAATTAATAAGTAAAGTAACTTGAGTTAGAAACAGAGGAATGTATCAACAGATCCTGAAGACTATTCATAATCATCGATAATTGAAAATTTTTCGATACCATTATCACAATTTTTTTTATTGTATGTGTTAAAGACAATTGTAATAGACACAGTTTCGAGATTTTTCTATTATAAAATTTATTATAAATTTAGGCGAATATCGCGGTATTTGTAAGAAATTCGTATGATAATATAATCGGTGTGCTGGAAAAATGTCGAAAGGAAAAATGTCGAAAGAGAAAAATATCGAAAGAGAAAAATATCGAAAAAAATGGGGGAAAAATGTCGAAAGGAAAAATATCGAAGGGGAAAAATATCGAAAAGGAAAAATGTCGAAAGAAAAAATATAGAAGAGGAAAAATGTCGAAAAGTAAATATGGAAACAGAAAAATATCGAAAAAAATAATGTCTTCAGTAGATGGTGACTCTAATCACGTCTAGGTGATTTTTACTTTCCTTATAATTCTACTAGTATAGAAGTTTAACCAGTAGTAATTGTGATGACTAATACCTAATATAAACTAAATAAAAGAGTTGAACGAAGAACCATTATATAAATAAAATTCTATTGTCATGTCTGAAGCTGCTGTATCTTCAGTTGAAGTTACTCGACCAAAATCTCCAACTATTTCATTTATAAATTCAAATAAAGGAAAATCTTTACTCGTAGCAAATAACTATGTTTTCAAATTGAATAAAACAACAACTACTACCAATGATGGTGCTATAAGTGCTATGGAATACTTAGACGGTTTATCATTTACAGTTGCTAAACAGAAAAAATGACAGATCGATTTTTTTTTTCATTATCTATATTTGGTCTCTGTTAGAACGTTAACGTTAACTCATATAATAAAACATGTTCTTCATTATTCACAGCTGTATAAAACATTTATTATTCATTTTTCATGTCGATATTATTTTTTCGACATTTTTCCACTTCGATATTTTTCCTTTCGACATTTTTCCCCTTCATTCTTTCGACATTTTTCGTTTCGATATTTTTCCTTTCGACATTTTTCCTTTCGACATTTTTACGGCCAACCATATAATCTAATTCCTATAAGATGTTAATAATATGTCTTCTTATAGTATGATAGTTTTTTATATCTTAATATTTCTTTGATAAAAATAATGCATTATTATTATTTCATTGTAAGACTATTATATAAGAATAAGATCTATGAATTTTTCAAGTATTTAGATACTACAATAGAAAAAAAAAGCAACTATGAGCAGCCAGATTTAACATATGATCATATCTATGACTATAAGTATTTCTCAGAAAGGCTTACTTTTTTACACCGTTGGAAATATTGCTATAAAATATAGTTCTTCTGCAGTTTTGGAGATGCTTTTCAAAATTAAATATTTCAAAAATAATAAAAATTTGAATATAAGACTTAAAATGAAAATAATGAATAAGATAATCAATTTAAATGGATGAGATCAGTTTTCTTAATATAACTCTCGAAAGTTACAAGCGATTAACTGTATGTGTAAATTAATGTTTTTTACATGAATTGCTTTCATAATTGAATATTTTTGTAGCTCAAATGAGGGCTGAAACTCAAAAAGCAATTTAGGAATTGTACCTTACTCAGTTTTCTTCTTATTCACAAAAAAAAACAATGTACAGCACTTCAGATTTTCATCTAAACTTGCTCAGAAGATACTTTTTGGACAAATCACCATCAATCACGGCAAACTGTAACGAAAAAATTAAAAAGCTTTTTTTCTCAGAAAGGATATATGAAAATTTCAAGTGCAACACACTGTTTTGTGGAGGAAGGAATATTGGAGCAGTAAGAAATCTTAAAGCATTGTTAGAGTTCTATAGCTCATCTAATCTCAAACACTAGTCAATCATTAAAAAAAAACTTGTGTAGAACACTAATCTAAATATTGTGAAAGAATTAGTTAAGAAATTTAATCACAATGTTAAAATCTTATTTTTCAATTTATTCATTTGTTGTTCTTGTTCAACAGCTATTTTATCTTCTTCATCGAGATCTTCATCTGATGTATGTTGATTAGAGATGTTGTCATCATTTAATATTTGAGAAGATTGTGTTGGTGATCGTTCGTGAGTCGATATTCTGATAGAAGCTTGTTTTCGATTTTATCTTGGAGTTTCATTGTATTGACTTTCGTCCGCATCTTTATCAATATCACCGAATTGGACTATTTTTATGGCCTTCATCATCACTACTGGACAATTGCTTTAACAGTAACTTGATCTGTATTTTGACTTAGTGAAATAATAAAATAAAGAGTTACAAGAAAATAATTGATAAAATTAAAGATTGAAAACTGTATCTCGAGCAAATACTACAGACAGTATCTAGGAGTACATAAAATTACTAAACTCATTTGCAAGAAAACTTTGTTTTGGTTTGTTTACTCTAAGCATCATATCTCCATTTAGGATTGATCTAAAATATGTTTGTCATCATAAGCCTTTGAAAGTTATCCGATTATACATATATTTAAATTCATTTTCTTTTCTATTTTGGATATATATTCTTCATGAACTAAAACAATAAAAACAAATAAAGCAAAAACAAATTTGAAGTACACTGGTATTGTAGTAGTTTGTCTCACGCCATTCTCAACGACTCGCTAGTCAGGATTGAGATCTAAGAACCATCCGATGGATATCCTTGAGGAAGGTTGAAATCGATCATGAAATAGCTTCCATACTGATACTATCATACCCGCGAGGCATTTGTACGCGAAAAGATTAAAAAAAACAATAGGTTTTTTTTGAGTGAGCCTTATTTTATGAAGTCTATTGGCGCTTACAAAAGCATGATAACAGGGAGGAAAAGAAAAGAAGGGAAATCAGTATAATATCAATAAGAAAAACAAAGAAAAAAGATAAATACGTGAAAAGCGAACCATATGCTAACTTGTTTCTAGTATATAATATGAACGACAAAGAATCCCTGGAGCATAAGTCATAAAGTATATTAAGCTGGAAAGAGAAGGTAATGTTGTTAAAAAGCTAAGAAGAACTCACACATTAATCTAATCTATTTTCTTATTAGGAATGATTTTCGATGAATTAAAATTAGTGGACTAAAGTTGACTCGTACCTATCAATCATTTTTCTCAGTCTGTGTAATCTGGAGAAATGTATTAAATCTAATTTCCGTTCAGCATAAATTCTTCTTTATTTCTTTTCTTGATTTGTAAAGACATCCCATTAGAAAAGATCGTTATAAAACAACGTCTCATCTAGGTCGGAACGTGATATTCTATTAATTCGTTCACGTGCCACTATAATGATATATATATATATATATGCTATCCTTAAGCATATTCTGAAGTTACGTTCTAGAAACCTTTGGTGAGGGACGTGTAGTAGGGAGAAGAGGGGAGGGGGGAGGGAGGGAAATCTGCGCAAAGAAGAGAAAGCTATAGGCAAAGAAACATAGTTTCAATATGTTAGTCAAAACTACACTATTTCTCTTCAGTCATCTTAATGTAGTATATATGAACTCTAAATCTTTTCTATGCAATGTTTGATAGTCGGTGCGAGAGACAATTTAACCGTCTACACAAATTCTAAATAACTAAGTGATCTCATTGTTTCTAATTGTTTCCCACTCATGTAAATCAGTATTATCGGTTATTTTTTTTGTGAGTAGAATAGTTTTACCACCGTCTTTTCTACGTTTATAGGCTGCTCCCATTTACAAGCATAGTCATTTAGGTTTTAACAAACTTCTGTTTCCTTTCTGCTGATGCATTCTAGCACTCTTAGCAGACTTTTCTGTATTGGTAAAACTATAAATGCGAGTGTGAGTGTGAATGTTCTCTTCATTCACACGCTCGTTCCTATTTCAGTTTAAGTTTCTTGTAGAACATAATATACACGACGACTGAATGTCCAGTGAGCAAGTCAATGAAAATAATGGACCACGTAAATGGTGGCGCCATCGTTGGTTTATGATCATTTGTATCTGCTTTATCATTGTAGCAATGCTTGCAGTTATACTTTTTCTGGTATTAAAATTTGTTATACTTGCACCAAAGAAGCAGAGTATCATCACGACAACATTATCATCATCAATGGGAACGTCACCATCACCAACAACAACAACAACTGCAACTACAACTCAGCAATTAGGTAAGCTGTACACAAACACTTTTTAATCTACCTAAATATTACTTTTAAGTCAGGTATATGTAGTTGGTATGCATCTTGGCACCGGTTAAATTAAAACTACCTAGAGCCAAGAACTTACCGAGAGTCAATCAAAATCATTTAAAGTAAAAAAATTCCGCGAAAATAACTTTAGAGTCTTCATAGGTATCGAAAAATATCGATTGATTTCCAATGGTTTTTAATGACTTGTACAATTTAGACTGGTTTTAGAGTAATTTAGATCATCTTTCTTTCTTCTAGTATTATAGTCATATTTCATCGAATTAGTCATTTAAAAGTGGTTAATTTGAATTCTTTTGTTATAGTCGATTCCTAATCGATGAAAATCGTATAATTTTAATCCTTTATCAAATCATTTGCATTGATATTTTGTCACTTTTTATTCCATTAGTAAAATGGATACAATTTATAAAGAAAGATGCCTAATTGAAAAATAATCTACGAATTAGTAATCAGAGGCTCCTGAAATCAGGTGACTCGATATGAGGATATTTATGGATAGAGTGTATTGATGTAGACAAAGAGAACATCATCAACCATGCTCACGCTACGCTTACACCAAGTTTCGAAAGGTTGTAGGTATTACGAAAAATTCGCCAAGACTAACAGTTGTATCGATACCTGGTCGATAAGAGGAGTATTCATTATATACGATTTTTTCAGGATCTATACATACAGGTTACTGACAAAGCTATTTGATATGAGACACTTGTACATCAACGTTTAATCTCTTGGAGTAAATGAACTTGAGACCAGATACCAATAAGAGCTTGGCTCCTAGCTATAGCAAATCGTGTAGCGATTCCATTTCGTTTTTTTCAGCTATCACATGACAACGTTGCATTCTTCTATATGCAAATTACTTATTCGTCCAGTATTTTATACTTAAGTTCTGCTCCTACTACCTACTCTTCAAAGACTATGAAACTTGTATAAGTTGTTGATGACTTCGTTTCTTGCGGATATGATTAATTATGCGAACAAAATTCGAAGTAATTTCCACGATACTATTAAACATACTCCTATTTTCTCGACAACCGAAAGCAATATTGAAGAAAGTGGCTGTCGATATTTCGTAGAGTTTGCGTGTAGCTTTAGAATGTGATTTTGTGCTGAGGATTCTCCAATTTCATTATATTGTAGAAATATCGGCAAATTTTCGGCAACCGAGTTTTCTCAATGTTAAGTCAATGTGCAGACCTCATTACCATTATTTCTTGTGTAAATTTCATAATGAAGCTTGAAGAAGAGATTATCGTTTTTGGTAGGTGCAAATTAACTAGGTTTTCTTTCATGGTATTCAATACTTGTTGAATAGTAAGAGGAAGTTCGAGAAAACGACTTGATTCAAAACTATATATAGCAATCGCGGAGACATTTTCACCATTTCTCTTCTCAACAACAATTTCTTTTTTCTGCAATTCTAATTGGCAATGACATATGACCCATGCAAGCTGGTATCTCATGTATGCTTTTCATCAGGGCTGCATCATCAAATATATTTACAGAGGTAGTCGTTACAGTAGCATGTGACAGCTCACTAGTGACTATAATTGATGAAAAAATGATTATGCTGCCAGTTTTGGTCAGTATCCATGTCAGATGCTCACTATAGTATACGTATTGACGTTCGTAAAATAGAATTTAGCCGTTCTCATGAAAGAAAAGTTGCATTCAATACATAAAAAAAAGACGTTAATCATATTCACTTGTGGATATATCGATACAATGGCACGACGTAGAGTACTCGCTAAAGTTCTCATTATGAGAATACCAATATGTTGATTGTTATTCAAAATTCTTGTCACATGATCTTTCACGCATTTATCATCTATTAGATCAAAAGCATTCGCCCTTCTCATTGTATTGTAATACTGATTGTGTGTACACAGTTGGTGTAAACAATGACAATGAATTTTATCGATATACATTGTTGAATAAAATGTATGAATAGTGCAAAACATATAGTTGCCATCACTACTCACTTCAACTAGAATTGCATCATAATTCTCAATTTTTATATAGTTCTCTAGCAGATTTTTTACTTGTTGATCAGTCGAGTGTAAATTCTCATTGCAAAGTAATGTAGGCAGGTCCATCCCAGGATACAGCATGATTGCATCATGAAGATCTATACATCTTGCTTTCAGGTTCTTGTAATCTTCACAGTCATCTTTTATTCTGGCTAATAGCCAGAGGAAGAAAGCACTTTTAGTCTTGTTGAGATAAGTTTCAGATAACAGCGAGTGCGAACGGATATTGCAAACAAAACAGGTCGTTTGTTCGAATCTTTTCATAACTGGCAACGTTGCCTACACACTTGGCATCAATCACATTCAAGTGAAGATAGAAAGTTTTTTCATATTCTTTACATTTCTTATCACTGTTGTATCCTATTAAGCACTGCACTTTTTCACGTTAGCAGTTATTTCAGATAATTAATAATTATATCAAAAGACTACAACATTGATAATAGAGATCTAAGCAAACTGCTCAGCGTCATCTCACCCTGCTGCGCGCTACGAACACACAAACTATTTACAAACATAGGGTTTTGTATATATACCGATAAAGAAAGTTGGAACCAAAAATCCGAATAGAACTTGAGTCCGGGCCGAAAGTGCCATAAAAAAATACACCCATGTAGAACTCTCTTCTCCTCTTAAGATGATTTTTGATTCGAACCGAAAAATCTTGCGGTCCAAATTCCAGTAACTCATGATCATAAGCACATTAATTCTGTAAATAATGTGATGATAGTTATAAAATACGAACCTAGTTTATCTGTTATTTATGAATACGATTTTTTACCAAAAGCGTGAAACGCACGGTCACACTGTATCATGAGCAACTTCTTACAATAAACTCTAGGCTTTTTTCTGTCACTAGAAATTTAGGAAAAACTTTGTTGTATTAGCAAGAAACAATTTTCATGTTACAAAATTGAAAACTTTCTGCACATCAATAGACTATCGTGTGTGTTTTCAACAACACATATTCTTTCCAGCATGAGCACATACGTATGTTTTCGTATAGGTTCAATCAATGTTGGCAGCATGAATCAAGCAAGACAAGGACACACAGGAACCTTATTAACAAATGGAAAAATGCTAGTCACTGGTGGGGGCAATTATGTTGCTCTACATAGTGCCGAATTGTATGATCCATCAACAGGAACTTGGACAACTACTGGTAGCATGAAACATCAACGACGTGGGCAACACACAGCGGTCTTATTAACAAATGGAAAAGTGTTAGTTACTGGGGGGGCATAACATTGAGGGTGTTCTAAATAGTACCGAATTGTATGATCCATCAAAAGGAACTTGGACAAGCACCAATGATATGCATAGTAAACGAATGGAGCACACAGCATCCTTATTAACAAATGGAAAAGTGTTAGTTGTTGGTGGACTTGGTTCTGGTATTATTCTAGACAGTGCCGAATTGTATGATCCATTAACAGGAACTTGGACAACTACTGGTAGCATGAATAGTCAACGAACGAAGCACACAGCATCTGTATGAACAAACGGAAAAGTGTTAGTTGCCGGTGGAGAAAATAAAAATTATTTCCTTAATAGTGCTGAGTTGTATGACCTATCAACAGGAACTTGGATAACTACTGGTAACATGAATAGTCAACGAGTGAAACACACAGCATCCGTATTGACAAATGGAAAAGTGTTAGTTGCTGGCGGAGAAAATGAGGAAGATAGCTCCCCAAATAGTAGTGCTGAGTTGTATGATCCATCAACTGGAAATTGGACAACCACTGACAACATAGATGAGGCACGATATGATCACACAGCGTCCATATTGAGAAATGGAAAAGTGTTAGTTACTGGCGGAGGAACTTTTCGTGTTTTTTTTAGGAGTGCCGAATTGTATGATCCATTAACAGGAACTTGGACAACTACTGGTAGCATGAATATTCAACGAACGAAGCACACAGCATCTGTATTAACAAACGGAAAAGTGTTAGTTGCCGGTGGAGAGAATAAAAATGATTTCCTTAACAGTGCTGAGTTGTATGACCTATCAACAGGAACTTGGATAACTAACGGTAGCATGAATAATCAACAAGAGGAGCACATAGCATCCGTATTAACAAATGGAAAAGTGTTAGGCACTGGTGAATGGTCAAATGTTAGTGTGGTTTGAAGAGTGCAGAAATATATTAAACATTTCAAACAGTAAACACAACAAGTAGCTTTTGATGTTTCATATCATTATTCTTGTTTGTAACTATTATCCTTCAAAGCTCGATTGTCTTAATATTTGTTCATTATTGCATACTGTATCTTTGTCTATTTTCCGTGAAATTTATTTTTGATCTATTATCACAATAAACTACAAACATTGACCCATTTAAAATTATTTTATGTGCGTATCCGTTTGATCTTCTTGCTGTAAAACGTTGATGTCGTCACACTGATTATTGGTTATATTTATCAAATCTTAAAAAAATAAATATTACGTTTTGATCTGCATGATTCTAAATAAAATTTAATTTGAACTGCTCCATGAAAGGAATCTTTCTCTGCTAATAAAGTCTAAAATTTTAGGAATTTTCTGAATTCAACATTGAAAAATTTTTATATGAAGTCACAGTGTCGCCCCCTGAGAAAACATTTTTACGCACCCAATATAGTTTTTTTTCGTCAAGCTGCCACTATTTTTGCTATGCTTTCAATATTATGATACTATCTAAAGAATGATGAAATATTGTAAGATTACAGAGCTCATTTGAAACTATTAGTATATACTGAAAAAAAATTTTCTCGAATCCCCCATAAGATTTTATAGTGTTATTGTCATTACTTTTGATAAGCTTCTAGTTTATATAACTCAGAATTGAAAATAGCACACAATGTTTAGAGGAAAATAAACAGCACTTGAAGTGTTCAATTGTAGAATGTTATGCCGATGAGTTCTTTGACAACAGAGAAAAGAGGAAAGCGTGTGAACATTACAAATCCTTGCAGGATCCAGTGAATATCGTGCTGTTCGTCAGTTTCTGTCATTGAGGGTCCCACCATGTGGATCCACCAGCGATAGATGCCCATCATGGTATGAACTAGATCGTGATTACTGACGCTAGCATAGTTGGAACAAACAATTCCATTGATAACAATCGTCCCTGAAGGTGTCAATGGAGCATAGAAGCCCTGTGCTATCGTTCTTTGAATTCGAATTATTTCGGCGGTTATTGATACGGTTTGGCTGTTATTGAGAAACATCTTCAAGCGATCACCAATGCGAAGATGTTCGGCAAAGCGGACTTGCATTATGTCGTCATCCACGAAAATGAGATGGTTGCGAGAGATGAGAAGATCTTTGTCCAACAACGAATCATCCGTTGTTGAAATCCGGAGGTATTCATAAAGTCCATTCCGTTTCGAATGGATAAAGCCGAGGATTGGCTCATAGGTACCATCACCAACAAGCACCTGATCCCCGATTTGAACATCACTGAGCGCTTTTCTCATACCAGTTACGAGATGAACTTGACTTGAGCCCGGAAAACAACTATGGTTTTCTATTGCCTCATACTTGTGGCAAGTGTACATCACGCAAAAATTGCCATTTGGTGAGACTATCGTGCAGTTGCATATTGTCTGCTCATCGGGATCAGCTGCAAAGTTGATAGCAACTGTTGGCTTAAGAAAGATGGAAAGAAGAAAAAGTAATAAGAGAGGAGTATTGAACGACAGCATATGGAATGAATTCTGTTTTAAATTACAGTCCGACAGGATTGTGTATGGTGCTATATATATATGGAAAAAGTTGAATTCTGCGAATGTTTCGTGATACTTTTTAATTAGTCATCAACAAAAAAAAATGCAGAAGGCCACACTTATCTGACTGTCATGAGACACAATCTTATCAGAAGTAAAGTTTACCAAAGGCAAAAATATTTGCTTGTAAACGAAGGTATATGATGATAAACGGAAAATATAAATGGACTCCATTTACGGTATCCATAGAAATCAACGAGCTACTTAAATAATATAAAAGTGTAGAGTAAGTTGTGATCACCCCGCTCTCACTACCGTGTAATATTCTTTTTGCTGATAGTTCCATATTGGCCGAGACTGATATTCACGGTAATCATGTTGTTGATCGAAAAATATTTCGTCGACACGACACTTCGCCGACAAAGCATTTCATCAATAAACTCAGATAGATATCTGTTTTTCGTCGAAAGTATTTACTTGGCTATGGAGAGTACATCCAATGTAAAGGTGAGGTGAGCATGAGAGTGAGGATGAGAGTAAGAATCATGCAAGTTACTCCAAATGTGAGGGTGAAGGCAAAGGTGAGGGCAAAGGCACTACAAACGTGAATATGAGAGAGAATTCATTGTCCTCTTAACTCTGAACAGTTCTGTAGAAGAATTGAAGGATCCAGAATTGTCTTGAGTGGCTGCGAACCTTTCCTTGAATTGCTTTTCGTCGAAAAGTATGTAATTCTATTCAATAGTGCCCTGAAATCCTTCCATCATCGCCAAAGGAACAAAGTTAATTAGGAGATACTTTTGAACTTGTCTCCTGACGGCGAAACAAATAAGAAGAAGAAAATAATTCACTTTCGACGAAATGCTTTTCTACAAAAATATCTCGACAAAAATTTTTCGACAAAGTTACTTCGATGAAAAGCCTGTCGACTAAAGTGTCGTTCGACGAATACATAACATTCGATATTCACAGTACACACACCAGGCGTCAGATCTACTCTATATTAGAATTTCAACTGTCTACTTATTGTAGTTACAGAAATACAAGTAATGTCAAAATTTTTAAAAATATTTTTTTGATACTTAATTAGTAATGTTACATATGATGTACTCCTCGAAAGAAGATTTGTAAGTCCAACTTCTTTTAAACAAATAATAATAATAATATAAATTATTCATCAACATTTATATATCTACACTTTATCTTGATCTATCGTTTGCTTCAGTCTACTCGGTATTTTTTTAATCATTTGCTAGCATTTTGCTGCACTAAACATTCTCCATTGTTGTATTACTTGTTTTTTCAATTCTAATTCATGATCAACTTGGTCGTCTGATATTCCATCTTTAGTTGCAACTCATACATTGTCAATTGAGCAAATGTCAGTAAACTTTGCATCATCTAGTTCTGTACATTGAATGTTCCTAATTCGAACAGCTTTTCAAACATTTGAAGAGTTTTCTTATTTTTCTAAGCAAATTGGTATATAAACGTATAGATCTTTTTATATTATTGAGTAGAAAAATGCCTTCTGAATCAAATGATGCATAAATCATTCAATTATCTTGAAAACTAACTAAATAATTAGCGGTAGTTTGCAAATAATTGTATTTGTCCTTATAAGGAGTACTATTTCTAAGAAGAACGGCCTATGTACAAAACAAAGACAAATAAATATTTTTTAGTATATAAAAATAGCTATTGAACAATTTCAATTAATTATCGAGAATAATTGTATGTTTAACATAATATTGACGAAAGAAGATAATTGCAAATAAGGATAAAACAAAGTTTGAGTCGATTGAATAAATGATCAGAAAACTGAATAAATTATTAATGCTGTTCGATTCATTTTGATTTTTTTTATTTAAATATATATGTCACAAGTAATATCCAATTTTAAGTTAAAAATACTTAGACAGATTTTGTTTCAAATCGAGCAAAAAACTACAAATTTTCTTTCTTATTTCAAAATTAGTTCTAATTTTCATTTTCATTTAGAGAACATAGCAGCATGTACTTATCATTTTTAAATAGACAGAGTATTTTTTTTCACTAATTCATATTTTAATGTATGCACGAATGAATTTTTCGTCGGCATCCGAAAATAATGTTCGAAAGTATTTTCATGAACAAACAAATCAACATATTAATTTTTGAGCATCGAATTCCTACATAAGACATTGATTATGATAGCACAGATCATACATAAGCTAAAAGGTTCTTCATTATTTTTCGTTAGAACATAACTGAATACAAATTAACAACGTAATATATTCATACTTTAAATATTGTTTATGAGCCAAGTCAAATTGGAAGACAAATAAATATGAGCCTAAAGATCTTTTCTGATGTTTTTTGTCCCGTCTCGCTAAGACAAATTAGCTATCAACTAAATATACTCGCAAACTGTACAACATTTTAGATTCAACTAAGCTTCAATTAAAATGAAAGATAGCTTAATACAAATTTATAAGATCGGTTCTCTATTCCGATCTTTTTCCAACTCAGTTTACTTTTGCTGAAATTTCAACTTTGTCTGACACATATTTCAAGTAGTAAAAATAAGTGATTGATTTAAAACTTCTAGAGTGTTTATATTAATAATGAATGTAAGCATAATGAAAAAGAAGAAAAGAGATAATCATTCAAATTTCTACTCACGTACAGGAAACTAAAAAGTTTCATGAAGATTATTTTCAGAAAAGAGGACATGAGATGAAGAAAAACACTTAATTCCTTGATATTAACAAGAAGAAACTTGAGAAAAAGATCAATCGACAGTTTCGTAGAGATTACAAAACTGAATAGTTTTATAAAAATTTGAAAAAAATATTATGAAAACAAATTCATCAAAAAATATTGCAATGAATCTCAATCAATATTGTATTTAACATACAATTGTTCTCGATACTTAATACAAATTTTACAATAGCTATTTTTATAATAAACGAAGCACAAACATAGTAAAAAGAATGTAGATATAGTACAAGTAGTTATATTTTTAATAGAAACGAAATTATGATTGAATTATCACAATTTATCATTTCATAGTAATGCCATAATTTTGAATTGATGTTATTGATTGAAAAGCAAAACTCTATTTGCCTTCGATCACTGGCAGTTAATGTACCATACCTCAAGGAATATATTTTTTGTGGCGAAAGTATAAAGAAGTTTTCAATTTCAAATAGAAAAAAAAATTCACCTACTAAAAATATTTAATTTTCCATGTATTTTACATAGCCTGTCCTTATGAGGAACAGTACTCCTTATAAGGACAAATGCAATTACTCGCAAATTATCGTTGATTACTTAGATGGTTTTCAAGATAATTTGAATGATTAATGCATCATTTGAGTCAGTAGACATTTCCATACTCAATAATATAAAAAAATCTATACGTTGATATACAAATTGCTTTGAGAAAAAAAAAAGAAAACTCTTCAAATGTTTGAAAAGCTATTCAAATTGGGAACATTCAATGTATCAATACGTTCGTCAACATCTTTTCACGTAAATCTGTCATAGGTTCGATTGTTTCTACACGTTACAATCATTAGAGATATAGAAGTCGTGTAAATTTTTCTCAACAAAAAGTGACATAGCAAAACGACACACCGCAAGAGTTATATGCAGAAAATGGTGTGGGCAGAAGACTCTACTCATCAAGATAGACTTACTATGGATTTTTAAGAAGTTTTTTTTATTGAACTATTCAGGAAAAATCCCATAGGGAGAAAAATTTGTTGACATTATTATTCATTCAATAGAAAACTCAATGTAAATGTTCATTGTGAAAAAAACAAAAACCGTTTATGTCAATGGTTTTTATTTTTGTGTCCGTGTCCATGTCCATGTCCATGTCCACCACCTTTTCCATGGCTATCACCACTACCACGTCGTCCTCCATCATTCGAGTGTTTACGTTCCTGACCAGGTGGACCTCCGTGAGGATGATTTGAGCGAGATTCGTGTCCTTTTGGAAGAATTCCACCACAATTACCCATCTTTCTAATATTTGTTTGGTTGGTTATAATGTGAGCGAGTGTAAACGGTATAGAGTGAGAATAGAGAAAAAGAAAATGAAACGAAGGTGAGATTGCCTATAATATATTTGTCATACAGAGAAAGAAATTAAATTGCATTGCATCCGGTAGTCTTACTATCGTTAAGTAATATAAATTCAATCTATTTTCTCTAGAATTTTGAAGTATGCTTTTTCAAGTGCATCGCCTGTGTGCAATAAACAATAGAAAATGTTTTCTAATAAATGAACTATACAAATGATGAAAAAAATTTTAAAAAAAAACATTACTGTTACACAGGCCGCTCTTTGCAATGATATTCTCAACAAAATGAGAAAATTTTCTCTAATTAATCAACCAATTTATTAAGAAAATTTTCAGCTATTTATATATCATTCAACACACATACGTTCACACATAAAAGAATGAATATAATTGGTATATCTCTTCTACTTTGACCTTGACTAATATTAACATAGAAAATAACGTCAAGCATGTTCTTTCAAACTACACATAAATTAATTTAGAATAGAAGAAAAGTCTAAAATTTTCAATACATTCTCATGGACAGAACAGATAGAAGAAGACAGAAGTAGGAGAGAAAAAGGAACAAAAAAAGATTGACCTAGATATTTATAAAAGTAGTTATGCATACTAGAAAAGAAAAAGATAAAGAAATAAAAATGAACGTTTGTTAGAGTGCTCTTTAACAATTACTTATATGTGAGAGACATGATATATAATCAAATAGGACGATTTCATAATTATTTATTTACAGAGATATTGAACTCGAAGATTTATCTTGAGTACATAGAAATTAATATGTAATGAAACAATTTCATTGAAATTAAATTACAAATATGGAGAGCATTCTCTTTTGTTAAAGATATCACACTGCTACAGTCTTAGAACTATAAATGAACATACACTGGAAAAGATTTCCGATAAGATATAAGTAGCGTCTATCTAAAGATAGACCGCGTCTCTTTTATGAAACTATCTGAGATTTAGGTGTCTTTTTCAGGTATTTCACATTTGACTGAAATGCACCCATATCTTTGTCCTATTTTCATCGGAAATCATCGGTACCTGTTTGAACTCAAGATTAGCACGGGTCGGGGTTTTAATTTTTGAATCGAACTAAAAAAAACACATTTTGTTTTACTACATTTATTTAAAGTTACGTTATTTGTAATTCGATATCTTCGTATTTCTCTAAGCGATTGCCCTTAACAAACAGGTAGAACAACGCCGCGTATATTTGATAGAGAAAAACTAATTATTTTGGATTGAAATCGATGACTAGCTGTCGTTTCAAGAACATTTATCTCACGAAAATACGCAAAAAACAAAGATACATTTTATCTCAACTTAGCTTTCTTTTTCACAATCAGTAGATTCTTAATCCAAGCGAGAAAACAATGATTCATTGTTTCAGAATGAACAGATCAAGCAAGAAAATGATAAAATTCATGTAAAATCTTTCAAAATGCGATTTTTACAATATGATGCCTTATAGAAGTTTTCAGAAAACTCTTTTCTCACATGATTCCGAAGCAGAGAATAATGAACATAATCGGCATAGATAAGCTTCTAAGAATCGAAGGATATGGAGAATAAAATCAGTCAGGCAACCCTCGTGGAGATAGATACAATGTGACGCCTTTCGTGACACGAATATGCAAAAAGATCGATGACACTTTTCTTTGATTAAAACTATGTTCTATAGATGAAAACTGTATTGATTAATGAGAACAAATTTTTTATTACATCATTACATATCCGAAAATCGATTTGGTTTTTTGGAAATTTATTTCCATTTGATAAAGCTCACCTTGTTTTTCTGAAATGGATTTTTTCCGGGATAAGTCGTGCAGTTTTCTGGAAACTCATATGAGGTATCATATATTTTCATGCAAAAGTTCTGTTTATACAGAGACACGTATGGGTTGCGACTGTTCGAGGAGCGTTTCGCGCCTTCACACAACGACGTTGAAATAAACAGTCAATTATGTGATTGAAGATGTTTTTTTCAGCCCAACGCTCGATTTCTACTCATGAATCTATTTAAGAGGATACCAATTGAACTAGAGCTTATTTCTTCTTGATTATTTCGAATAGCCTTGTTGTTTATTCTGAATATTTGGGTTGTCAAGCTTCTTTTCAGTATTCATCATAAAATTGTCATAATTTTCAAGAATAATAAATCAATATCAATATATTTTATTTGATATATTTCACTATTTTTTTTTTATTATTCTCATTTTCTCGCCTGACAAACACATACACAAATTTTACATATTTTAAACTAATTTTCTTCGTAAGACTTTTATGAAATAAAAGAGAATAAGATGAAGTAGAAAATAAAGTTTATTCGTGATAGAACCTTAATCAATTATTCGACGTGTTCAATATCAAAAAAACAAAAATGAAACAAATTTATATTCATTTAAACAGAATGATCCGACCTTTGCAACTTTAGAGGCTAAGGAGAGATAAAAAAGTTTCCTGCACGAGGTAGCGCATATGTTTAAAATAAAGACAGGTTTTGCAAGTATCTGCTCTGAGTATTTCATTGCGCCTAGAACACAGCTCAATGAATATCAGCATATGAGAAAAATATTAAAAAGGATGACTGATGATTACCAAGATGTAAGATAAGATAAGTGAATGAGCAGAAAAGAGATGTACACGAAAATTCTTAGTTGTTCAAGATTAAGAGAAGGATTTACATTTATTTCTCGATTGTTTTTCTGTTATTTTTTCGGTATCGGTAGTACCAGAAGATTTTGAATCCGGAAGTATCTTACACGATAAAAATAAGATCGTGGTTGTCTCCCTTTTTTTCCAAGAAAATATCTTCATAAGAATTTGAAAAAAAAGTCTCATCATTTTTAATATCGAAGGTCTTCACGATAGTGACTATTCATTGAGATGATCTTTTGCGAAAACTACAATGAATTAAAGTTTTCTTGGATTAAAGCTTAAGTCTTTGAAAATTGCTTACAATTATGCAACTAACACTACTTCTCAATGTAGAATTTTTTGTAGGCTAATAAAAACTTTTGCTATCCAGTATCATTTTGTTCAAAACCTGAACTATCGTTAAATGGCATTTGTAACGATTGTTTTTAATAATAGCCTACTCAAGGCCATCCTGTTCGTGGGTTTCATATGAAAAACGAAGCTCTTCAGACGTGAACATCTCATAACACGGCATTCAAAGTAAAGGTCAGAAAGTTCTTACGTCAACTATGATTGTACACTCGTTGTTTTTCCCGGAGCGAAAAAACTTCTAATTTTAATATGCATAGTGTAACATATTGTGAGTGTTTATTTATTTTCTACCCTTTCCACTAATAATAATAGTAAAAATTTCTCGTCATTGGGAGTGTGTTTCATTTTGCGAAACTCTCCTAGTTGATCCATTCCTGATTTGAAACAACAGTAAAGTTCTTGTTCAATGTATAAAAAAATATTATTTTCAATTAAATTACAACTAATTTTAACGTCTTCATGTATTCATCATCGAAAATAAATGTCAGCGAAAACGTATATTCGTTGAAAACAAAATCTCTCTCTCAGAAAAAAAAAAGAAAAAGATTTATTTTTCAACTAAACTTCAACTAACGATTCAATGTCCTCATTTTCTCAACATTAAACAGCTATGAAAATGATTCATATTCTTCGTAGAAAAACAGACAACATACTTAGTATAAAAACCATATGTGTGATTGAATATGCTAACGATATTTCTTATTAGAAAGTTCCAATATTGCCATTCCAATCTCAACTGAATTTGCAAACTCACCTGCCACATATATGTATGTCTAGTTATATTTAATCTAATTAAGAATTCTTTCGTGATATTATTAAATTTATATTGTTGTTTGAATACGAATGTTTAAAAATGAAACACTATCGTTAACAAAATATTATAGTACCATAAAAGCTTTCTAGCAATGACTACTTTTGCCACTATCTGGGATAGTTCCTGTTATTCCACCATGTATTTTAGGCATGGTACACATCTCTCTTGATAATATTAGTCTTTTATTACACACGATCTAATGGAAATATGAAATCTTTTTTTTTTTATTATGAAGAGTACTTTTACAACCTTACTTTATGTTTCCTACAAACACTTCTATTATGTTTATTTATTATTCAAACACTGGTTTTCTTGTAGAAAAAGAAAAAAAAAGACCAATTTATGGAGACACATCAAATAAAAAATAAACGAAAAAAAATAAAAAAATAAAAGCTCTCATTTTTGAATAGCAGAAAAAAAATAAAAGAAAATGTTTGTACAGAAAAATAACCGGGATTTGTTGTTTTTTTTTGTATGTCTAAATAATTTTGATTCTATTCTAATGTGCAGTCATAGTTGAACGGGCTACATGTCCAATTAAATAAACATTATCATAAAGATGACCAGCTAATTCATCACTTAATGTCCCATTCATTATGGCACGACGTGTATTACGTATAAATTCACGTTTTGACATTTTATTTTTAACATGTGGTGATGTTAAATCAATAGAAAGAAGAATTAATGAAAAACATAGTACATAAATTGTTTCTAGGAAAAAAATAAACCAAAATATCTCTATATATATTATTTTATAGTTTATAAAGAAAAAATATACAAACCGATTGATAAGCCAAGATCTTTGTTACATTCGTGAAAACGTTTAGAAAAATTTTCGATTAAAAAAGATAAATATTCATTACGATCTTCCGGTGCATCCAGTTTCGTAAAGAATTGACGTAAAGCATTCGGTAAAAATTCATTTTCATACGATTGAAGTTCAATAAGACGTTCCAATATATCACGACTAGCAATAGAAATATTTCAAAAGATTATATTCAACGAAATTAAAAATAAATTCACTAAGTTTATAGTAATTACTTCAATATGTAACGTCTTTACCTCTTATGTATGGTTTTTTAGACACACAAATGAAAGATAAATATTTACAAAAGTTCATTAAATAAGACTCGATTATTAAATCAATATTTGATATTATGAAAACCTAGCGTTCAATGCCGGGAAAAAAAGATTAGACTTGATATACCTATATACCTCTTGACTCATAACTCTTTCTATTCTTTTTTCTGTTTCGCGTACCTGATTTATTGTAAAATAAAACAAAGCTACATGTGTTACTTCTTGATATAGGTCGAAAAACAACAGACTAATGTCAATATGAAACTTTTATGAATATGCACAGCACGAAGAGTAATGCTATAAAAATGAAATGTTCGCCGTATTTTACGACGTCTCAATACTAATACAAAATCTATTGTATTTTTTTAAAATAGAATTGTAATTATGTCATTTTCTTGTCATTTTATATTCTTAAACGTACCGTGCTTGTAATAATTTACGTTTTTCAGTAGCTCGTAATTTTCTTGTATTATGAATAAATTTACTTATTTCTTCGCATGTATCATCAAGCAATTCATTTTCAATGAAATATTGTAGACCCTACCAAGATAGTAAAGTGAACACTAACTAATAAAATTTAATAAAAAAAAAAAAAATTCTCTTTATTACTTGTCCGGCATTGAATCGTAATGTGCCTTCATCAAGTTGCAAATAAACTTTACGAAATGAAATACCACCATTTCGTGCTCGATTATAAATTGATGCATAAGCCCAGTTAGATTTGCATAAACTTTAAAATTCAAAAAATAATATTTTTTTTTTTCAAAATCAATAAACTATTTTTAATCTACCTAAGCCAAAGAATTTCATCATTTGCTAATGTTTGCCAAACACAAGCAGCAAGACATAGATCAGTAGCATTTAAATTTTTAAGAATTTGTAAAGCTAATTCAGGTGGTAATTGAGATATATCAGAAACTTTTGTGACTAAGAATAATTACAAAATGATATAAAAAATATTTTATTTTTTTAAGATTTAAAATCTATACTTTGATTTTTATTATTGCTTGTCGGCCCGGCAACTTGTCGATCGAAAATTTGACCCATCGTCAATGATTAAAATCAATTTTTAATCGAACGAATGTGAAGCCGAGCCGACTTGCGACGATGACGTGTACAAAAGATGTCGACGTGGAAAAGTAAGCAGTATGTAAGATAGATTAGATTATATATTTTTTTTGTTCTTTTTCTTCTTGTTCTTTATTTGTTTAGGAAGAATGAAAAGCAAAAAACTGTAGTGCTAAACAACTTTTTACTTCTTACTATCGATGATTGGTTGAATAGATAATGAATGAAAATAGAAAAATAAAGTATTAATAAAATTAAATAAAATATAAAATGAACTAAAATTTATTTATATTTTCAATAAATTTTTTGTTTATTAGTATTATTGAAATCAAGAAATAATTTATAAGTTAATCATATAGTTGCTAAGTAACCTAGTTGTAAGACAATTGTCAATGGTATTGACTTTTAGCAACGTTATATAGAAACAAAATTTTAAAGATTTTATTTATGCGAAACTGTATCCTTAGGTAATATGTTTTATTTTTTCAAGGGTATGGTCAGTCATATTATTTTCTTTTTTTTTTTATTAATTTGAAAATTATTATCTGTTAAATAGAGAAAATTTATCAAATAAAAATTTCTATTAATTAACAAAAACTTTATTATAGATAATGTTTGAAAGATTTTCAAATTTAATTTATATAATTTATTATTTTATGAAAACAAAAATATCTTGTTTTTTAAGTTTTTCCCTATTAGAAACTTTCGATATATTCAATCAGAATAGTCATAAGTTTACATATTACCGATTAATACTTTATTTCTCGAGCACTAATCCAGTAGAGTTGATATTTAATCAATGATGGAAATAGCTTATGCAGGTGCTTATTAGAACGAAGTCATTTCACTGAAGAGATGCAGAATAGACCATAAATGACCCATTTATTTAAAAATGGTCGTAGAATGCTTTTTTTGACTGGCTATCAATACCCATTACAAAAAAGGCGGATGGGGATTTTTTTAAAATAACTTTCAATAGAAACAAAATAGAGAGCTACAGTTTTCACCTTTAGAAAAAAAAGGAGATGAAGACACATCGAATTATATATTACAGGTTTTTTCGATCTGGTTTTAAAAAGAGGTTCCATCAAGGGACTGAGGATCAAAGGCACCCACTAAAATTTACATTTTTGACTTTTTATCTGTGTTTGAAAGGTCATAGTTTGAAACTACAAAACACAAATTTTTAGCTCATTTGAGTATATTATAGGAAAGTTAACCAGGACCGACTTTAGAACACTAGTAACGTAGTGTCAAAAAAATAGTTAAAAATTGATCCATAAATATTCATTAGGATTATGCCTCAACACGTCAGGATTTTTTTTGTTGGTACAATATACCAAAAGATAGACCATTAAAAACTGAATAGATTTTAAAAAAAGACCGCCGTGATGGACTACAAGTGACTTTTCGTCGAAAAACAAAATTTCTAGGATTAATTATATTCGATGTAGTTTTCGACGCTGATTCTGAATATCATTATTGTTTTGAGTTACAACCGTATCTGGTCAATGAAAACCGTGAAAAAATCATTCAACATCATTATGAATAACAGTGATTTGTGAGCTCTGTTTCATCTCGGGGATGGAATTTTTTTTCAATATTTTTCTATCATTTTGTGTAGAATTAAAAGTTGTATAACAAAGAAAAAATTCAGCTTGGATCCATTTGTTTTTAGAAAATGACAGCAGATATACTGCTCAAAATTTACCATCATGAACTCGTGAATTATGAGGTTATTCGATCATGTTGATCTTCAGAATCCTAATTAACAAATAATATACAACAATTGGAATGGCTCATTATTTTCAGTTTGAAATGATCTATCTTTTGATATATTGTACCAGAAAAAAATCCTGATGTGATGAGACATAATCCTAATGAATATTTATGGATCAATTTTTAACTATTTTTTTGACACTACGTTACTAGTGTTCTAAAGTCGGTCCTGGTTAACTTTCCTATAATACACCCGAATGAACTAAAAATTTGTGTTTTGTAGTTTCAGACTATGACCTTTCAAACGCAGATAAAAAGTCAAAAATATAAATTTTGTCCAGTGCTTCGTATAGTGGAACAAACCTTGATTCTCTCTAATGGACCTTCTCTTAAGGTTCTCAATAGACCTTTTGAAAAAGCAGCGTATCCACTAAGATGACTATAGTGAATTTTCAATTGTTAGATGTGCATATTGAATCGTCAATAAAAGATCTACAAAATGATGCAACTCTCAGGTTTTTCGATATAGTTAAAATTCTCGGCACCAAGTTTTCAAGCAATTGATACGAAAAAAAAAATCAAATTTTAGTTTTTTTTTTCTTATTTTAATTCTGACATTTAATTTTTTCAATAAAATTCTTCTAAATTTAATTATTAATGGGTTGATATCATAATTAAACAAATGAATAATTAATCTTCAAATCTTTTTTTTTAGATCATCGTAAACATTAAAAACAATGTCAATCATTCCACCATCTGGTTCACTTGTTCGTTTTGATAATCCAACATTGATAACAGCACAAAATGAAAAAGATCGTAAAGCACTTGGTGCTGGTAAACAACAAATAGCATTAGACCAACAAATGATGGATGTTACTGGTGGTGGTGCAAGTTCACCACAATTAGGTAGAAAACAACAAGCAATGAAAGATTTATCATTAGAAGAAATTCTTGATAAAATTCTTCCACCAAAGTATAATTATTTTATTTAAATTTAAATTTATTTTAAATCTAAATTAGAATAACAAAAGATCCAAATAATTCAGATTTACTCTATTGTCAACGTATATCATCAACACCAGCAACACGTCTTGATGTTATTAATTTACAAGAACAATTAGATATGCGTTTACAACAACGACAAGCTCGTGAAACTGGTATATGTCCAGTACGACGTGAACTTTTTTCACAATGTTTCGGTAAACAAAACAAAAAAAAAGAAAAACAATTTTTTTTTCCATTCATTTTAAATAGATGAACTTATTCGTCAAGTTGCTATTAATTGTGCTGAACGTGGTTTACTTCTTCTTCGTGTACGTGATGAATTACAAATGACTTTACGTGCATATCAAACACTTTATGAAAGTAGTGTAGCATTTGGTATGCGTAAAGCATTAATGGCTGAACAAGGAAAATCAGAATTAGAACGAAAAGTTTGTTTATAGAATAAGTTTTTTTTTTTTTTTTTTGTTGTTGTTTTATTATTATTTTTATTATTCTAGTTAGTACAACTTGAAGAAGATAAACGTGATCTTGAAAGACAACTTAAAGAAACAAAAGCAAATGCTGAAGCAGCTGAAAAAAAATTAAATGAACAACGACAAGTTGAAGAAAAAAAACATATGGAAGAAATAAATTTTTTGAAAAAAACAAATCAACAACTCAAGGTTAGATTTGATAAAAATCAAAAACAAAAGAAAATATGGTTTTTTTTGTTTTTCTTTAGGCCCAATTAGAAGGTTTAATTGCACCAAAAAAATAAATATTATGATAATTTTATTTTACTGTATACATTTATCAATGAGAACATCAATTCTGTGCGTTTTGTTTTTCAATATAATTTGTCTCTCTCTCTCTCTCTTTTTCATCAATAAAATAAATCCTACATAAGTTTATAGCAACTCGTTTACAAAAAAAAATATATTCATTGTATTTTGATTGTTCTGTTTTGAAAATAAATTTCATTTTATTAATTCAAAAATTTCATATGAATATAATAAATGTTAAGGTAAAGATTAATAGTAAAGGCTTATCGAAAACGAATTTGACAAACTCTTCGTTCATTTTTCAGTCTCTTAAAAAAAGGAGTCTGCCAAAATTTTAAAACATTGAATTTAAATTAAAATTTTATATTATTTCCGAATGTAGGTTTGAAATTTTTCTAGAACTTATAGTTCAGAAGTTACAAATCGATTTCTTCAAGGTGAGAAAATTGATGTTTTCTTTTTTTGTTTTGCAAGAATCGTCTTCTTTGCTGTGTACATTATATTCCCAATTTTTTTGCAGAGAGAATTAATGACAAGATTGTACTGTACAATGTAATATAAGAATCAAAAATTTCAGAACAATCATTCAAGAATAGTCGAGTTTATTCTGCAAATCTATTTTTCATAGAAATCCAAACAACTGTTTGAATTGACACAGGGTACCTGACTCGAAATACTCACTGTTGATAAATAATCTGGAGCAAAGTAATCATTAGCAAACCATTTGATAGATAAATGTTTGCTCTTTCATTCGCTGTATTTGAAATAATTGTCCCTTCCATCTCGTGTAAGTTTTCGCGCGCTAAAGTTTATTGAAATCAGGGACGGTGCGAGCAGGTATCTCGCCTGGTTTAAAAATTTTGGCTCAGATTTTCTCCTAATTTCGAGAAATTACTAAGCAGTTTTCTCCGATTTTGGAAAAATATAATTGGACAAATTTTAGGCTATTTACTCCAATTCCTCTGCGCCGCATCTGATCGAAATTCAATTTACAGGCTTCGAAAAAGTCGATTTATAACTGTTAAACTAGACCTTCAAAGAAATTTTTAAAGCCATATTTGAAAAGAACATAAAATTCTAATATTAACCCGATGTTTTCAATATGCAATAATAGTTGTTTTAAATATTCTAAATATGATACAAATGATCAAATAGTAGTAATTTTACATTTTGGTGAATTTGAATCAAGTTTCGATACAGATGTCATCTTTTTGATTTTCAAGTAATCATTGAATTATATAGTAAAATTCGAGAAAAATCAATTGTAGAAGCAAATTTGACTCTTTTATATACAAAAACTTTGGAAATTAAAATATCTGTAAAATAAAGTCTTTTGCAAGAATGATCAGTTTGGAAATACATCGACCATTATCTCCAGAAGCCATGCATGAACTGAACTCTTCGCGCGTTGTTTATTCGATATTTAGTGGTGGACATAAGTTTACAGCAGTTGTATGTTTGAGTTTTCTTCTCGATGGTAACAGCTAGGAAGAATCTGTGGGCCTAAAAACTTCAATAAAACTGTTTGGATGAGGATATCTATAAAACTAAGACCTCCAAAACAAGTTTTCTGACATCGATTTGCAGATTTTTGGAAATAGTTTTATCTTCATAACGTTTCTTCATCGAACTGCATTCAATTTATTGAAGGTTCCAAAACGTCAAACACGACGAAACTATTAAAATTTTCCAAAAAGCAAAAGATAAATTCTTTCTGGCTCTTCTGTAAATTGAATGCAATTCGATGAACTACAAGCTTTGTAGTTTAGACAATACTCTTCCCAACAGAAAAAAAAAAGATTGACTGATTTAGAAGTTGACAATATGGTTTAACATGAGTTTGACATTTTTGCCAAGACTTTTGTATGACAACAAAACTGGAAGAGTAGTTTACTGCCGTCCTCGGTTATGATGTATGTGGAGCTACTTCGTACACGCTTATATAGAAGAGAGAAATAAGATGAAAAGGAAAGGAGGATCAACGGGAAGTTATATCAATATTAGCATATTTTGCATAGCATGTTAATCGATCTTACGATGATTGGAACTCAAAATATCATTGTCTTATATATATAAAAAAATGATATTAGAGTAAATTTAAGTAAAAGCAAAGATATCAATTAATTCAGTTTGTATATTCCAAACAACTGATAATGAAAATTTAATTTAAATTCACATTATTGTTGATTGTACTGTGATTTGTTTTAAGTGAACATTAATAAATAATTGTTTTGAATTCTCAAAAAAAAAACTATTATTTTCTTTGGAAATTTTTCTATGAATTCAATACATTAGCGACCTCTCTTGTTCAAGAGCATAATCGTTAACAATTAGTGGTGAAATGAATCCATCCGAATTTTGATTTTTTTTTTCTTTGACTGTTTTTTATTTACCTTTGCAACGTCGTATCTCGTTCTCAATTTTTCAACCATCTCATTAATCAATATGAGCAGTGGAAGAAAACAACAAAGTAGATAATAGTTATAGGAATTTTGTTATTCTCTATATAGATGATTTTTTTTAATAATATCTAGAAAAACGACAACGTCAGTCGTCTCCACCGCCACCACCGTCATTTAAATCTCATTTAGCTCAACGATTCCAAAGATTACGTAGTGGACAACGAGATCTATGGGCAGACGATGATAATACTACTACTCAAAAACGTAAACAATCGAAAACAACAAATAATAAAAGAACATATATTACTTTATCAGATTCCGATGAAGAACAATCATCACAACGACGATTACGTAATACGAAATCAGGAAAAAAACTATCACGAAATCATGATGAAAATATTAATAAAAATACAACATGTTTAATTTGTTCAATTTTATCTCAATTATCATCATATAATTGTTGTTCAGAACATTTATCTATTCTTAAAAATCATACAGATCATCAACAACAAACAACAAATTCTTCATGGTTACCAAATAAAGTTATGATTGTACCTGTAACAGATGAAATTATTCAACATTATCTTGATCCACAACAAATTTATAATTTACGAACACAAACAACATCAACATCAATAACAAATAAAAAAACATCTGAACATTCGACATCAGTAAAACAAAACAAAAAAATTTTTTTATAAATTATATTTTCTTTATAGACTTTGAAATCTTTGAATAAATCAACAATGACATTAGATCTTTCTGATATAGAACAATCAGAAAAAAATATTCCAAAATCAGCAATACAGTAAGTTCTACATTCAAATTATTATGAAATAAATACTTTAAATTACTTATATCATATCAAAAAAGCATCGATAGAAGTATTTTTAATTCTTATCAAAATTTTAACCAAACTTTTTCTCTATATGATTTGATAGTAAAAGCAATGCTCTGGTATTTGATCATTCTTCAACTAAAAGTATAATAAAATTTCGATAAGAACTGTTTGTTATGATATACATGACAGTAGTATTAGATAAAATGTTATATTTGATGTATATTCTTTTCTTACTGTTCTTATCATCTTCTTTAATACCTTTGCTTTCTAGTACATATATTAGAATATTATACAAAAAAAGTATTGACGATAAAAGAAATACAAAGACACGTTCATTAAATTTTTGACTTAAATAATTCTCCAAATTTCGTATTATATGACTTTTTTAGTTACTCAACTTAATTCAAACAAAATCTAAGCAATTCTAAATCATTGCATCATGCTATAAACAAGTTCGATAAATGCATGAGACTCAGTCATCAAATCGATTTAAATATATATGAAAAATATTTAAATAGCTGGTTACAAAAAGAAGTTCAATGCTAAATTTTCTTGGAAATGAATTCGGTATTTAAATCATATAATAGCTGTATACATTTGGTTTCTTATAGTTATCAAGTCGTTTAAATAGCTCTAGATTTGAAATAGCTAGTTACATGATATAGTACTATAAACGAAAAGTTATTACAAAACAATCAGTTATTGAATCATTAAGTAGCTATATATTATTCGAAAAAGTATCTCTTTTGAGAAGCTATAGAGAAAATATCTTTAAGGTTTTGATAAGGAATTAAAATACTTCTGTCACTACTTGAATTATTCATAAAATTTATTGAATAACAAGATAATCTTTGGTATTTATTTTATTTTCTATTTAACATCTCACAGATTATGCTTTATGGAAAATGCAAACTTCTCTTAAAACTATATACGAATTGAAATATACAAAATATTTTATGCGCTTCGAACGAGGAAACATTTCCAGGTGTTCAGATCCTTTTCAGCCGAAATTTTGTTCATAAGTAGGCATTGGTGAGCTATGAAAAATCTCTAAAGAGTGTGTGCCCTTTCTGAGTTTTGAATTGTTCGAGTATTTTTCAACGAAATATTATTTCCATTAGAATATAAACTGTTCGTCTTCATAATTTTCATATGAAGCCGAATGTACACTATTCAGGAGTACGATAAATACTTGATTTGGAAAGTCTAGTATAATCTACTAGTTATTATTAAGTTTATTGTTAAAAAAGATTTAATGTCGCGTGCGTCACCAAAAAAGTATTTGCCATTTCAAGGCCGACTTATAAGCAAAATATCAGTTTAAAAGAAAAGGAAATTTGAAATTCAAACTTATCAACACGAACAACTTGTGTTTGAATTCGTATTTAAATATTTCTCATTCATATTATAACTAAGAAAATCTGGTGTTTTTTTTTAAATTTTTATATTATAGTTCTTCTCATATGGATATTGAACCACTTGCTTCAACTATTGTCATAGAATCAGCATGTTCAAATTCAGAAACAATTCAACCTGATTTAATAACTACAACTGTTACATCATCTTCACCAATATCAACAATAAATACTATCGAAAAAATAACTACTATTGATAAAAATTCATTACAACAATCACCTATTGAAATGATTGTTATTGATGATACTCCAACTGATAATCAACAAGAACATACAACAATAAAATCTATGAATAATAATAAACCAATTGATCCATGGATTCCGATTAGTGATGAAGTTGATGCTGCTCTTGAACATGTTCTTATTCAAATTGATTCATCTAATGAAACTCCACTTGAATTTACACCAACAACAGCTCGACGAACAGATACAGAAACCATGGCTGCTCTTTTACCGAAAATACCATTAAAACAAGGACGATTTCGTTCTGGTAAACCAATCATGAATCGTTCAATATCGAATGCAGCTAATGAATATCGACCATTATCAACTACTCAATCTTCTCCATTACCAACATCCGTTACTACTACTACCACTACAAAGTAATTCATATCTCGAATGTTTATTATTTCTTAAGAAACATTTATTTCCATAAAATTTATCAATAGTCATTCACTATCTATGACAACTAATGTTGAAAAAAAATCATCAATATCATGTCAAACTTCAAATAATTCTGAAAATTTATCTGATAATCGTAATGCCGTAGTTACTAGTTGTATATTAACACAAGATGAAACAAATCGACATGATAATATTCCGGTAACAACAATACAAAGTATGTAAAAAGATTATTTGTTTATGAAAAAGAATTTTTTTTTCTTAGATTTGCATTCGATATCTGTTATTAATGAAAATCCTAATATAGAAATTGAAATAGATCGATTAAATGAAGAACGAAATGTTACTTCATCGACTACTAATGAAAGAACACCAGCAAGAATATCTTATCGTACGAATCCTGATGGAACACAAGTTCGTATATCACGACCACCATTACCAACAAATCGTCAATCACCGTTTTTCAGTTCTTTACGTCGAGTAAGATAATTCATTTAAGTTTTTTTTTTTTTTTTTTGTTAAATATAAACATCATTTTATTTTAGACATCAACAGATGTAACTTCTATTCAACCAAATACAAAACAAATGTAAATATTTGATATTTAAATTTTTTTTTTTGTACAGCATCTATTATATTGTTTCTTAAGCTACATATATATATATACAAGATAGATTAATAAATCATGTATTCAGATTAACAACAAGTATCTTTTAGTTTCTTAATGAAGAAAAAAAAAATATTATTGTTTGATAATAGAAATTAAATCTATATTAAAATCAATTTCATTTTCTACATTACACATCAACTTTTGTTTTCTCAAAAGTTTAGAATAGTCGAGAGCAAGTAAATACTATATCACTCCAAAAATATAGTCCTATAATTAGGATCTCAACTACAATATAAATATGTTGATTATTAAATTGTTCATGTGGAAAATAATCAATATTTTGATAGACTTTAGTTCTAATCTACTATCGAAATCAATATATGCTGAACATAGAAAAGATGCTTATACAATTTGTGATATAACGAAGATGTTTAATATATGATGAGGTATAATTTTTTCTAATTTTCTATTAACTGTATCAATGTGTTGGTACATTTTATCAATGAATGAGTTTTCTAAGAATGACATAGAGTAAAACCTTTCTATGTGAGCACCTTCTTATACTGTGCAGTCGGTATTTATTTCTGGTCAAATACAGTCGCAGCAGTGAAATTAGAAACACTTTTTTGAAACTCATCGCGGCAACAGTAGATTTTTCAGCCACGATGGACATCTCTGATGTGAACAACATATGTTTTAGCACCCGTGTGTAAAACGAGAAAGAAATGATCTGTCATGATGAACCGACATGGGACACATGGAAAGGAGATGGACTAAATGTGAATATTTAAAAGAAAAGAAAAAACAGTAACCATGCTTGGTGTAACATCTCGTAGCATCAAATCATGTCAATACATATTGATTTATCTCTGATTAAAAACAAAATAAATTAATAAATTGTTCGAAAGAGAAAAAAAGAGATCACTTTGTATAGTCGACAAATAATTGCAACTGAATATTTATAGATTGTAAAAGAAAGAAACTTAAAGTCTCTTGATACACTAAGCACTTCTGACCGGTTCCAATAGTACTTATATTAGAAAAGTTTTACTGTAACTATTAATATTTTTGTACTAATTCTTACAATAGTTTGATACTCAATAAATTTTTACTTATACATTGACGAATGGTTTGATAACGATAAAAAGATTAAAAAAAAATTAAACTCATATATCATTTCATTTTCTGATATCTTTTCCCTGGTCATTAATGATTGCTTAATAAAAAAAAAAAAAAAAACTTTTCATTCATTATAAAAGTCTTTTCGATAACCAATTTGATCCCAAAAATCACAATCATCTTTCAAATAATTTTCTTTGATTTGTAATGGATCTTGAAAATACATATATTTTTCATTAGTACTATTTCCTATTGGCCATGATATTGGTACATTTAAAGGTTTATTTGGATTTTGAGTTTTTGCAAAATTTGTCCAATAACTTGCTATACTTTGAGATATACGTCGACCAACATCAGTAATATTTATCCAATTTGATTCAAATAAATATGGTAATTCATCACCATGACATACATGTCCACTACAAATTTCTTTATTTTGTTTCATATTAGAATTTAAAGGATAACCAAATACATAAGAATATAAAGCAGCTTTACGAGTAAATATACGTGTTGGACAAGCAAAAACCCATTGTGTAGCAATTTGAGATAAAAGTAGTCTTTGATCTCCTGTACCAATAGGTGGATAACGTTCAAGAACTTTTAAAGCTTTACTTCGAAAAAATCCAAAAGTAATTTCAATATAAAGCTTTGGTAAAACAGGATTATTCCATTTGTTATAAATAAAGATTAAACCTTCATCGGTGACTGTACCTGTAATAAGAGGTTTTATAGGAAATGATAAATTTTGAATAGTTTCATAGAGTTGACCATGAACAATAATATTATCAATTACAGGTACCCATGGTTCAAAGAATAATAATACTTCTAATGAAGTAATCTTTCCATTTACTATTTCTTGAGCAGCAATAATATTATCAACAGTTGCTGTACGAAAACAAGTTATATCTTTAAAAGAACAATGAAGTTGTTCAGCTAGAAGAACACCAGGTGTTATATATTCTGTATAAGTTCTATATGAATAATATAAAATTAAATACGAAATATAATTTATCTTATTCTTATACCTAAATGGTATTGCCATAGGTGCACTTTGAATAATGACTTGTTGAAAAAATGATTGCATATCATGTGCCATATAATGTAATGCAACAGATTGTGCACCAGCACTTTGACCAAATAATGTAATCTAAACAAGAACATATTTTTAATCATACATAATATCTCATGGTTATTCATAATACTTCATTTGGATCACCTCCAAATGCATTAATATTTGATTTGATCCATGCAATAGCTAAACGTTGATCAAGTATACCATAATTACCTTTGATATCATTTGGACCAGTTCCAGTTGCAAAAAATCCAAGAACACCTTTATTAATCTATACATTGTATATAAAATAATTATGTTGATTTTTTTTTTGACTCACCAAGTCGATATTGAACGAATGCAATAATAATATTTGTTGTATTGACTAAACGTTGAGCATTATAGATTGGAAGAGAAGCATCAAAATGTTGAAATTCACCACCTGGAACGAAAATCATAACAGGTAAAGAAGTAGATTGTGTTGTTAATGGAGTAAAAATATTCAAATAAAGACAATCTTCAGAAAACTATACATTGACAGAAGACAGAAAAAAAAACAGATGAAAGTCGAAAAATTTTTATCTCAACAAAAAAATATTACATGTGGAGGACATAAAGGAGATGCTGGATTGCATGGTGGTTGAGGACAAGCAGGTGCTCGTGAAGTAGCATTAATTACTTTTGGAAACCATTTTGCAATAGGTACTGGTGGATTCCATCTACACATACATTTGATATAATAATATATAAAAGGAATTTAACATTTATAATTACCTTAATTCATTAATAGGTGCTTGAGCAAATGGAATACCATAGAAAATACGAGCTAAATCTGTTTGATAACCAAGTATATCACCATATTTTGTATGAACAATAGTAGGTTCATTAGTATATCCATTTTGTATAAAATAAGTAAGAAAAATAAATAATATCATATAGACTATCATTCTTCAAATGAATGTCGATGTTACGCGTGTATTTGTACTTGTGAAGAAAATGTGCTTCTACTATTCATTTGTTTCTTTACTGATAAGGAAAAGAGAATAGTTTACAGAAGATAGAATATATTAGACTGACTTTAGGATCATACAAAAAACTCTTTTAGAAGAACAAAAAGAAAATAGTTGTCTTTTATCAGGTATTTTTGTTTGAATGAAATTGTAATCATCATTCAAGTTTTATTATATATGATAATACTAATCATATGTCTGAATCACTGTTATAGATTATATAAACAAAAAAGAGATGAACTAATACAAGTAATATATAAAGAATTGGGTTGAAACTCTTCATGTTAATGATGTTCGGTTAGTATTTCAATTTAATATTTTCGGACTATAGTACACATGAGTCATATTTTTTTTAACTGACACATTGACAACGATTAATTATTTCTAGCAAGAAAACTGACGACGACCTTCGACATTATAATAACTGAGGAATTAAATCATTTTTCTATTATATAATTATATTTGTACGATTTTATTCCATTTATTATAGATAAAAAAGAATTTTATATTTGTATGATTTTTTTAAAAATTTAAATGTATCTTTCAAAAATTTCTTTTCTCTTTTAAGATACGATTCATAACGTAGATGTTTACTGAGAAAGAGAAACGTGCTCAGTACCACCATTTTGATGATAGTGATGAAAAAGAACAGAAGAAAGATCATACCACTTGAACTTTGCCAAGATCTGATAATGAATAATATTAAATATAATATAAGTGTAACTTGAGAGAACCGAGTTTTATTTCAATATATAAAAAGAGAGATGCAGTCATAATGAAAATTTTTCTTTTTTCTTATTATATAGCAGTTCAATTTACTTGAGTTCTTCTTTTGGTTTTAAGTTTTTGGTTTATGAATTAGTTTATGAATTTAGATTATGAAATATGGATTTACTTTTATGGACTAGACAGTTATTGATGTATTTGGATTTTATACTGATGATGACCGCTTTCACCAGCTTGTTACTAACAGTCAATGGTCGAAAATTCTATTACTGTTAATTAAATAATAGAAAAATAAGAAAAAAAGAAATTTTCATTATGACTGCATCTCTCTTTTTTGTATAATGAATAATATTAATTACCCAACGGAAGCTGTCAATAAAGTGTATATGCAGACAATGCTCACTACGAGAATTGTATCGACTCCTTAAACAATGAATATTTTAGACTGTCTCCTTCAAGACATTTCATTCGAAAGTCTGATAAAAAAATCAAATCATACTCCTAAAATGATGTTATTTTTCATAAAAGACTTTAATGAATCTATAAGTAATCTGTTGAATAATGTAATTTTTAATGAAGAATGTGAAAATCTTGTAGTTCTAAAGTAAATTTTGATACAATAAGATTTTCATCATGATTATAGAAAAGAACGAACAGCATTTTTATTGTATTTATGTAATAAATGATCATCTATTTTTTACAATTTTTTAATTCAAGCTGTGGGTGTATAAAACGAAGTTGACTGTTTGAATACTTCAGTTATTGATACGTTTAGAACTTCTCTATATGTTTCCGGTAATGGAAAAAATATCCATTATGTATTTGACAATATGAAATGAGTGAACTTTTGTACTATATATATTTTTTTCTTTACTGTTTCATAAAAAAAAACTTCATTTTCCAAGTGAAAGCTGATGTCATGTTTTTTCGCAGCATGGATTTTTTTTTGTTTTTACTCCTTCAATCATTTTATATAATTGCAAACTTAAGGACATTTTCAAATGAGACGATAACTACACGCTATAGCTTAATAAAGTTGAAATTTTTATTTTCTAGTTCATATTTGAGAATAATAAATTCTTTTCGAACTATCATCATAATTTTTTTTTTTCTGTTTTTTGAAAATAAAAACTTTTCCAATTCAAAATCTGTTTCATTAAATTTGAAGAAGAAATCTTTATCAAACGATAAACATCTACTTTTTGATTTTTTAATGTTTGAATAAAAATTATCGAATTCAAAGAAAAGATTTATAGTTTAATAAATTTTCATTATAGTTATCAATATTTTTAAAAAAAATTTATTTCATTTAATTAAAATAAAAATAAATTTTTATCGAAATAATAAAATAAATTACTAATAATAAATTATTGTTTTTGAAATATCTATTCATTTTTGAAACTATCTCATTAATCGAATGTTGATTGCAACCATGATTTAAACATGTATGTCTGCAAAAAAAATTCATTGTTTTATATATATCAATTTTTGATATTGGTGGAGTACATTCTTGTAATGCATGTTGAATTACACTACAACCACGATGAATATATACTCCTAGATAAGACAGAAAGAAACTATAGATTAAAAAAATGCAAATGCATAATAACGACTGAAGAAGAAGAAATAACTTATTCTTTTCTTTCTATTAGTTATAGAAAGGTCAGCATTTGTATAATGACATTTTAAAAATAAAAGTAAAGAATGAAACAGTAGTATATATATATATATGATTTAGAAATGTCTTTTTAGTATATAAAATAATGGTTTTAACTCAATCAACAAATCATATTATTATGATTCGACCAGCGTGTTTTTGTTTTAATACAGAAACAGCTATTTCAAATGCATTTCAAAATGATCAATATGCTGACTTATCATCAGCAGATAAAATTCAACAACAAGCATTAAAAGAATTTGATCATATGGTTGAAAAACTTCGTTCAAATGATGTTCATGTTGACGTATTTGATGATACATTATCACCAATAAAACCTGATGCTATTTTTCC